CACTCTTAAGTAGCACTTTCGTGGACACTCCACTCAAAGCTCTTTCCAGGTCATGGGGTCTCCCCTCCACCACATCCAGCCAGTACTCTCCCCACACACCAGCTCTCAGTGGGGAGGAGAGCAGAGTGATGAAGCCAGTTCAGAGATTATAAGGAGGCCATGATTAATAAAGGCCAATGGGAAACTTGGAGACACTCCTACTCTCTTGGAGACACGCCCTGGAATTTTTAATGACCACAAAGAATCGGGACCTCGGATTTTACGTCTCATCTGAAGGACGGTGCCTTTTTACAGTATAGTGTCCTCTATACTTAGGACCCACACAAACCGTAAGGTGAGCGCCCCCCCCTACTGGCCCTACTAACACCTCTTCCAGCAGCAACCTTAACTTTATTCCAGGAGACCTCCCATCCAGGTACTGGCCAGGCTCACTCACACCTGCTGAGCTTCAGTGGGCTGCCAGCTGTGAGCTGCAGGGGGATATTACTGCTGGCAAAAACAAAGATTTACAAACGGGAGAAGGCTATATGGCCCATCTAGCCCTCTTGGTAGATAGAATGTATAATTGAACCAAGAACCTCAACCATCCTCGTCTTGCGTAGGTGTGTTGCAAAGAACAAAAGAAAGGTTAAAAATGAGAGGAGGAGGTGTACTTGTATGTGTGTTCAAAGGAGGTAACTTATGAACTGCAAGCACTGGGAGCTGTAGAATACCACGCAGTTTCCCACACTGCTCGGGTGCTGGTGCAGGTGACAGTGGTACACAATCCCATGCTCCCCTGAGGCACAGCTTCCAGATAGTTTGCGCAGTCTGTGCCGTTCAGCTCAGCCGCGGGTACTTGTGAATACATGGCTCACCGCAGTTTCTTCTTCTGATGTTGCTTGCTCCTGATCATGTCAAGCACGGCCTCTTGTTCGTAGTAGTGGTTGCATTTTTTATTCTTTACTGGATTAACCATGTCCACCTGCAACGAACACGAAACAGTGGTACCTATTAAGGGGTGCATTAAATAAACGGCACAAAGGAATACACATGCACACACAAACACACAATTTAAGTGCTTTAATCATCAAATATAATTTTAGACCTGTTCCAAGAAGTACATAGAATTACAAAATAGTTCAATAGCCATAAAGGTTTTGTCTTTTTAGTGTGCAATAGTTATTTAGAGTCTAGCACAGGATTAATATAATGTAGGCAAATTTGTTATGCCCATATATCTGCTAAATGTTTAATGTATTTGTACAGGCAGTGCAGAGACAGTTCTCCCTATTGAGGTTCTCTTGAACTCCGTAAAGTGCCTTCACAGGGGCTGTTTAAATCTTCTCCTTGCATGTTGACAACCCCAGTAAGTGAAACCTTTGCATTTGCTCATTTGCGGTGCTGTTAAGCCAGAACGATGGTGAGGAGTGAAGCCAATACCTGGGTAATGGGGCAGGTGGGATTGACCTGGCTTTGGGTCACAGCAATGTCTTCGTCCAGCTCCTCCTCTGTGGCCTCTGCCAGTGGTCCAAGAGCCCAAAAAAGAAAAATCAGAACCACACAGTTGGAGATGTACCAACTTGATAGACATCACTTCTGGGACCCCTGAGGTTCAAATTATTCTGTGGTTCTAAGAGGATGAGAAGAAAACGAGTCTGCTTGCTTGCTTGCTTTCAGTTTATTTGCAGTACGTTGTGTTGTGTACTGTAATATGTATGATTCAGTGTGTGCACAACTCTCAAAAAACCCTAACACTAAACAGATATTTCTTTGTATGTTAATAAATGCAAAGAATAAAACCCTCATATTTCACTTGTAAAATCTTGCTTTAAACACTAAGCACTGGTAACTAAAAACAGCCGCCCTACTGAAACACTGGAAAATAAGGGGGGATTATGATACAGGACCACACGTTCAAGGTCCTGCTGTTTCAGCGTTCATTCAGTATTAATGCACGTCTACAGTATTCACATGGAAGGATGTGGGCGGTTATAAAGACCACCATGCTAGCCAGCTCTGAAGAGCAAACCCAAAACAGTCCTTAATCAAACCCATCAGAAGGTCAGATAATAAGGGACTTCTCCCTTCTCCCTTAACTGAGCCCAAGAAGAAAATAAGTTTACTTGCATAGGTATGTACTTTTGTCTCTTGCCTTTCAACCTGGAAAGTAAGTACGTCACACACTGTCAAAATTGTTATTACAGTCTGGTTACTGTAAAACAAATAGGCAGTAAAGATAAACATATTTACAACTTAAATCTGTTAACAGTCCTCAGACACCTAAACTAACAATTTGAACAACCTTTCCATATTTCCATATATCGTAATCTTGCTAAGCATTTATTTTCTACATGCCTTTGGGATTCATCATGTATATTCACTTGAGTAGAGGACATTAAACTAAAGCAGATATGCAGCTTTTGCAGAGAGCGACTCCCTTAGATCAATGGACCGTATTAAACAGAAAAAAACAGGCTACTTCATATTTGTCAGGAACAGTCAAACAGAGGTTCTTAACAGCAGAATGAGACTAATGCAGATATGTTATTCGGTTTGCTTTCAAACACATTTGCCTTCTTTTATATATTGGTAAGATGACAGGTGTTTAATGGGTGTGCTTGCTTTCAATTTACACTTAGGAAACGTTGAAGGACGTACAGTTTTCTAGATATGTCACAGGGGAACCTTATCTATTAAAATGATGAAAAAAGCAGGACCAGCCCAGACTCGCTAACACAGAGACTCTTGAGAAACTCTTTGCGGGCATTCCTAGACCGCACATGGCAGCAGTACCTTGACAAGGAGAGAGCTCACAGTGCTGCTCTCCTTCTGGCATTACATCACTGCTGGCTGTGGGAGGGATGGATCAGCTGTTACCCACACGGCAAGAAAGTAGCAGTAAATGAGTCTGTGCAAATGCCTTCAAAAACTGCCTCAATAGCACGAAGGATCACCGTGCCGAGAACTAGGGGACAGAAGGTGAGGCTGAAGCCATAATACAATCAGGACCATGTCCTTCTATGTTCTGAGAAGTTGAGCAATCATTCTGAATTACCTAGATTATGTAGGCCATTACTCTGTGACACAGTTATGGCATTTATGTTTCTAAAGCAAAAATGCAATGACCTCTGCCTTTTTCCACTTTTACATGATTATATCAGTTGTCACTATCTTGTGTATTTCAGTTGCCGGTAATCTATGTCTACTTCCTTAAAACGGAGTTGACAGATCATTCCATCAGGGAAAAACTCCAAAAGGTTTTTGATCACATGCTGAATCCTTTCTGATGAAAGCTTCAACCATCTTTACAGCACTATCAAAAAGTGGAAAAAATACATTTCTTTGAATACGCAGATACTTGCATTTTTACTTGTAATAAGCAGTCTTGTCTGCATAATCTACACAGCTTGTTAACATCTAGGCGCATCAGGGTCATTTTCACTGAAACTTGCTCCTCGTTATGTAAAAGGCAACATTCCAAACCTACAACGAGTAAATTATAAGAATACTTGGATTCTATCTACACTTGTCTAGACAAGAAATTCAAGCTATAAAATATCCTAGGAGATTTTTCTCCTTGTTAAAATTTCCACTATTTAAATAAAAAACAGACCCAAGGGAGCATTAAAGGTGTGTTAACACAAAAGCCAAATGTCTTACATTACGGACATAAATATTTTAGTTACATTCCTGACATTTCACTAATATCAGTAAATATTTATCAGACAAAAATCAGTGAAGTCTGAATGCTGAACAGACAGTAACCTAGATTATACCTCTGCATTGTTTTTTTTTTTAGTAAGATTGAAGGCGTCTGCTTGTAAATACACGTACCAAAGTATAGGAACCAAAAAAAACACACGTTTTGAGTTTCTCTTTTAAAAAGGACCACAGACAGAACTTTCTCCTCTATTGTTCCAGGTGGAACTAAACCGTTTTTCTTGTCCTGTTCTGCTCTTGAAACATTCAGGGCTTTTTTTTCAGTGCAGCAATGCCTCACTTAACACTGAGGATGTGTTCCAGAGGAAATACCAACATGGGATTCAGTGCTAACAGAAGTGTTTATAGCATGGGCTTAACTGGGTGCTCTGTTTCTTACATATAAATGACGTATGTAGGTGTATGTGCAAGATCCCTGTGGTAACGCTTCTCACATCTCCTGCTTAAAACCGCAAAAGCCAGAAGAATCTTGGGGTCCTGCTTTCACAGTCTGTATTTGTACTTCAAATGAGAATGACCCCTTCCCGAGGCCAAGTCACTGATGTTATTATATTTGTTGGTAAAAAGACAGAGAGAAGCAAAATGTAACTTGCACAGCCTGCAGGTAACTGTCACATGTCAAAACACCTGTCTTTCAGATTGTGCAATACTTTTCAAAAGAATATTTTGCTGCTATCCACTCCAGACGAAACCAAGGACTCAAATGTTATTTTATGGCCAAATTACCTATCTGGTATGACTGCAATGCACGGATCATAATTACCACGTTAAAGATTCACAGGCACCATCAGTGCTAGATGCTACATCTTATATTTAAAGCTTTCATCTCAATACTTATGTAATTTCATCCGGCATTACTTAACTTGGGATATAAAATAATCCTTGAATATTTAAGTGAGCCACAGCATGTTTGTACCTGACATCCAAAACAAGTAGAAGTGCTTGTTGACTCATTTAATGTGTGGTCTTTCACAAAAAACTGGAAGCATTTTCACAAAGTCATGCAAACTATTTCTCTCCAGCAAGGATTGCATAGGAGCTGTATTCAACCAAAGCGAAAAGCTGCTGTTATGTTATCAATAGTCAATGCAAGGCGAGAACAATGTGCTTTTCTTCTGTTCTTCTCTAGCTAAATCAGTCACATTTAACTTCTCACAAATCTACAACCAGGCCACCCACCTCCCAGGTTACACAGATTACAGAAAAGTCAAGAGAAAACACACACAAATCAACTCCAAGCTTTAATTTTAGCTGAAAAAAATGCAGTGCACCCAGTCTAAAACACTTACTTCCTAAAAGCAAGGTGGCAATGACCTCCTTTTTCAGAGGTGAAAACAGCAATGGAGAGACTTCTCAGCTTCCTTCAAAATATTGACACAGGGAGCCATGTGAGCAGAGGGCTTTACAACAAGCAGCACGTTGCACAACCGACACACGCAGTACCGGCTCTGTGTCCCAGCTTATCCAGCATCCCCTGTTTCTAATAACACCCCATGTCATGCTTTGATCGAGTGATAAGAGTTTTGTAACACCGGCTCCTCTGCGTTATCATCCTGCTTGCTCTCCCTGCCATTTGCAGTGTTTGCTTTAGTTGACACACATTTTCCATTCCAGTGAAACTCCGGCTACGGTACTTCTCCGAACTGGACAGGCTTACATCATTTCACCTTTAGCCCCTCCTCTTTCCGATTTCTTGAATGTCAAGTCGAATGGGCTTCGGCCGATGAGAGCTGCCAATCAACGTCAAGCACAAAGCAGTGTGTATTGCCCTGCATGCGATAGTCTTATAGACACGTTTTAGATCACTTCATCTAGTTCTCAAGCCCCCTTGCTTACATTTTGTTATTTGTCTGCTCTAATTTAATAATTTCCATATAAAGAATGTGAACTACACACAACCTGGGCAGCCAGTCACTGGTGTCCTTTCATAAGCAAAAGGGGGAATTTGGAGACGAAGTGGATGAATGCCTATTGTACTTTTTCACCACACAGTCATTTTTTACAGGAGGAACTGGGAAGTGTGCATATTGCATTGATAACACTATGCACAAGTCAGTGTGGAGAAAAGATTCAAAGTAATCTGTCTATTCAATTCATAAGTAAAGTAACCAACCTTAGAGGAGGGTGTTGGGCTCATTAACCTCGGTTGCTTATTGATTCTAGGGTCTCCCTCAGCCATTTCTTGAAGGAAGCCTGAGTAACCGCCTCAGCATCATCACTGGTTCCTCAAAACTAAGACACATTTTTAAAAGCACGGAACTGTGCAGCAGTAATTAAGTTAAAAAGTGTAGAGATTTGCTTTACTCTTGTTGCCTTATTCTTCCTTCATCTCACAAAAAACAGAAAAGCTGGGTAAATACTAGTCCTTTTATCTCATATGCACAGATGGAGATGTGAGTAACCTTTATATAGTATGTCAACACCAAAACTAAAGCATAATACTCCCATTTTTACTCTTGAAGTAGAACTCTAATTATTTACAAGGTGTCTAATGTGAAAGCCCTTTAAAGGAACACATTTCAATGAATTCAGTGCCATTTTCTTGAGATGAGAAGAACTAAGCTTGCTCAAACAATAGTTCTCTTTAACCACAGACTGTTGCATGGCAAAAGACCTCACCTACTGAGCTATTGGGCACACTGTGGTTTTGTGGTATTAGAAAGGTTTTCTGTGCTGCAGCCTAGCCTTTCTGGTATAATGATTATTTTTTCTTCTTTGATATTGTTTACTTATTAAAATAGTGTACATAACCCACATAATCTTCAGGTTTAAAAAAGGATAGATGAGGTTTGTGAATCTCCAAGCAAAGAACCTTACACATTCCAGCACTCAATCATAAACAGCTGCTGTAGGCAATGCACATTCCTCAGTCTGGACCTCACAGGCCCTCCTGAAAAGCCTTGTAAGCTTTAATGTACTGTAAGTGAGACAGATATTAAACACTTTATTAACAATGTTACTGTATTAATCAATCGTTTTTTTTTTACCTTCATTAAGAACAATTCAGAAAACATCACATTAAGCACCATGAAAAGCCACCAAAACATCCTTTAAAATGACCTGCAGGAAACACAAACTAAAAAGGGAAAAAAAAATACTTTTTTTCTAAATAAGGTCTTAAACCTAAACGAGGTCATAAAATGAGATCACAGTGCAGTACTTTAGGAAGACTCAAAGGGGTTGGAGAGATTTGTGTTTCTCGAAAAGGAATTATATAATAAATGAACTATATTTTAAATTGGTGACTTAACATTGCGTAGTTCATTAAAAGGATACTGAATTCAGAGAAACTGAGTGTGTTCATTTCTGTTTATTGTTCAATCAAGGTAAAAGTGTAAAAACTACAAGCTTTTTCTATTTAGAAATACTTCTGGCATATTTATCCGGAATAAAACATAAAATAACCTTTCTGAAAAAAGTTGTCTTGTGACCCCACTTTCAGAGAAACAGCTATCAGGAACTAAATGCATAACCTTTCTCCTGCCACTCCACTTCCATTCTAAGAAGGCCAATACTCATGTTTGTATATTGCAAGCGTGCCAATTGCACAATTTTGGTGTTGTCCAAACTGTACTCACACAAGCTGTTGTAAATATTGGTACAAAGATGAACAGACAGATTTGGAAAAAAACAGACATCACAGTTTTAAAGCCTGCATACACAAGAACAGCTTTATTCCTGTTCCTAATAAGCTGCCTTAACAAGTTGATTTTAATAAATGTCACAGTACAGTGGCTGCCTTTTAAGTGATTACAAAGGCAGTCTGACAACATGACTTCAGTCGCCTGATAGTTTCAGATTCCCAGGCTGTGCCCAACAGAGTTTCAGTGTTATTCTGCACAAAGAAACCCGAATGCAAAAGTGACTTTTGTGAAATGAAAACCAAAAGGCCAGCAATGAATCTGCCACCCTCGGTTCTCAAAACATCGTCCGAATTCGAAAGATTTCCAGGGAGACTAGGAAAAAAAATTCCTTCTGGGAAATGCTTCTGTAACGTGTCGTTGTACTGTAGATCTGCCGGCAGCTTCCACATTTAAAATAAGAAGTTGCAGAGTCTGAAACTGGCTTGATCTTAAGTATCTCCGCAAAAAAACCTGCACCAACACGCGTGAGAGCTGGTCTTAACAGCACCCCCAGGTGTAATGCTTTTGTCAATCGCGTGCAGCAGTCTAAAAACAGGAACTGAGAGAACTATAAATCAAAATACTCTCATTCACCATTACACAGACTACTGGTCCCCAAGCATTTTGCATTGAAAGCCATCTTAGAGTAGGTATTGTGAAACTTTAAACAGTGGCACATTTTGTTTAATGAACTAACCACAGGGGTATTGAGAAAGTCTTGTGCAATCAAACTGCTCAGCTAATTATTATGAGATCAAATAGTAGTATCCATAGTAACTATGCTTTGTTTTTCCAAAACAAATGCTCTATCTCTTTCATGTATCTCCATGACACAATAATTATGAAGGTTTATGACAACGTAACCATAATGGTTTGAAAGCCACGCAGTTATGATTGATCTGAAATTCAGATACAACATTCAAATGAGAATACTGTAATTCCACACCTACATGTAGTATAGGATTTCTCGATTTTGCTTCAACTATTAGCATGAAAGATTAAAAAGACTGCAGCTTTTTTCTTAGAAGGTTTACTCCTTCACTAAGGACAACGGATTTTGACATTCACTTTCTTGGCAACCTTAAGCACAAGATTGATTGACATGACATCGACATGGGATATCACCAACAGTGATATTTAAAATTTAAAATCTATAATGTTAACTGTGATGCCCCAGTGGAATGCAGCTTCTGGAGTTGTGCATGAAAAGAGGTCAACCCGACAGGTGTCCTCTCGGGATCAAGATCCGTGGGTGGGAAATTCAAACTACTAGCAATGACACTTCATTCTCCATCGGAGCAGTGGATCTTTGTAAACATGCTCACTTTGCCAGTGAACTGAAGACACTGCTGTTTGTTCATCCTTGCTCCTGTATAGAATATCCTTGAATTTCATCCAAACCTTTTGATGCCTGCGGTAGATCTGAATTCACTGCACTGATCACACTATTCAAGAGGCCCACTCTGTTGGCTTTGTAGAATAACTGCAAAGCCAGTTAACCACAGTTAAACTCAAAAGTCATACATTTAGTTTCTTACAAAACATCCTTCATGAAGAACTGGTTCTGTAGTCCCAGATTGTGGTACATCTGTCCTGAGCTGCTACTCCTTTGCCTTTTCTGCCCTAACCTATTTTTGCTTTGTACTTGGCCTGGGCCCAGATCAATATTCTGGAAGATAAAATTCATAAGCCACAAGCATGACAGCTAGACACTAGACCAAATCCTCCGCCTATCAAACAAACAGGCCTGCTAGCCTTCCAACTATTTTAATCACTTTCAAGCTCAGCAAGCGTGAATGTGCTCTTGCTCCCAGTACTAACAAATGAGCACCCTGGGACGTGCTGGTGCTCTCCCAGTTTCTGCTTGCGGTCCTGTCTGTGTCATTTCTTGCCCAGAGCAAGGATCGGCAGAGATTGATGAGTCGGCCACATGTGATCAGAAATCTGAGTTCCCTTTTATTGTTCAGGATTGCAAAAGAAAAATTAATCAATTTTGTGTCTTGACACTGCTATAAAAACCTTAAATAAAGGACTTCCATTAAAATATCGTAACACATATATTTGTAATATATGTTATGTATATTTAATATATAAATAAAAAAATATCTAAGCAGTATCACATATTTATATCTAATACCTTAGTAGCAATATTTAAAAACTTTGCATTAAATGTATGTACAAGAGAAACAAAAAATGATTCCAAGGACGTATTATAAAATGAATTTAAAACCATTATAATAAATGCTGATACCATGATGCTGGTAAAGAAAGCACAGGTGCTGCATGAAAGCTGAATAAAAATATTTTTGAATTATCGAATATATAATAATTTCAGAAACACCAACAAGAGCCGGTATAGAGCTGCAAAGGGACTTAAAAATGCAAATTATTCTTATATTAGCTATAATCCCACACATCAGCTGGACATCCAGTATGTGCATGAACTGCACCAAAAACTGTGGAAAGCATTTACAGTATGGCTTTATGAACTACATGTGTGGTCAAAAATAGTTGGCTGTGCTTTGTGTTACATAAACCACATGGGATTTTCCCAATTAATATCCTGTCCTTTGGCAGCAATAAAGCCTCCCTCTGTCATAATACAGCGCTCAAATATAATTAGTCCGCCCCTGGAGACACGTAGTCACAGGTTCAGATTTTTATGAGCTATGAGAAGGGGGAATAATGTTCTTGAAAATCTTGCAATTCACGAAGAGGCAATGTGGAAAGGTACAGCACCTCAGAGCCGATTCTGTTAAGCGGCGAGCTCTGCATACTGGAGCCCCTGCAGCTCAAGTCAATGTACACTGCACTCCTGGGAAGAGCTACAGTGCAGCCCCAAAGCCTTCCTCACGGGTCTGTTCTAACATGCTTTAAGAACACAACAGGGCTCCACTCCGATTCTACTCCAAAAGTGCCCAACGCCTCATATTTCATTTGATAGAAAAAGGAAGACAATCAGGTCACCTGCCTTTGATACACATTTAACTCCGTGCACACTGCTCGTTATTACAGAGTTCTGTACGGTGTCCTGTGGTTTCTGCTGAGACTGGAGTTCTTCATGTGGAGTATTTCAGCACAGCCATCCATTTGCAGAAGCACAGACCGAGTAGCAGGTATGAGAGCAGCACAATACTCTGAAGCACGCAAGCACTGTGTCCTGACTCCCCTCCCTCCACTGCCATCTAAACAATAATTACAAAGACCTTCACTTTCAATCTATTCAAAACTCGGCTGCCCTGTGCAAACACCATTAACATTTCAGGTCCTCAGAAACAAGGCCTGCGTGGCAAGATCTTTCTGAATTCTTGTGACTGTGCAAACGGGGACTGCTTTTGAGTGGTTTCTTTGCAGGCACAAATTTACCAAGTTGATTTTTTTTAGAATGAAAGCACAATTTCCATAGCCTTTTCATAAGATGTGATCAATTGAGGACTAGGTCTTTCCTAGAGCTGATCAGAACCTTGGTGATACTCACATGCAGACAAAGAAATATAATTAGAATTGTTAATATATGAATTACTGTAATATATGAATTTGCTGAGAGCCCAGTGGCTGTTCTCAGTGTCTCTCTATAAGTTAAAGTGAATAAATTCCTGCATATTCAATAGGAGCTCAAACCTTTATGTAATTTATACTGAAACAATTACTTGGAAGGCTGTGAACCGTCTTTTGTATTTTTAATAGAAGAGCATGCTCATTCCTGCATTAATTACTGAATTTAATTAATTTGAAGTTCTGATGTATCAATAATTATAAAAACATTGAGAACATTAGAAATGTTCCAAAAGGGAAGAGACCGTAGGTCTCCAGCTAGCTTGTTGGGATTTCAGTAGAAAGTTGATCCTAAGATCTCTTTTGTTTAATGTTTGAAGAAATCAGAGTATCAGTTTCAACACCATGACTGGACAGTTATAGCCATACTCCTATAACCATCTCTGTAAAGAAGTGCCTCATGTCATCAGTTTTTAAAATATTTTGTGTAGTTCCCACATGTTTCATCTGCTTCAATTTTCATGATGGTTCTGATGAAGTCCATAAGGTTAACTTTATCAGTGCCTTGGAGGACTCCACCTGGATCGGCGTACCAACATATCTGGTATTCTGTTCTGCTCCAGACCAAAAACATCCAATTCTTTCAGCATACCAGACTGGGACACGTCTTAGATCCTGAGAGCCTGTTTGTTCTCTGGACTGACTCCACGTCACTCTTAACTAGCAGGCCTCCTGTAGTGGTTATCTAACAAATCAGAGCTACACTGAGCACTTCTACCATTCAACACGGAAATGACCATTCAGGTTACTTTTAACGTCTCCTCGCGCGGAATTCTCCTTTTGCAACATAGCCCAGCCTATGCAACTGACAGAAAGCTAAAGACTCCTTTAACTGAAGCTGTTGGACAAGTGAAAGCGTTGCTGCAACAACAGATGGCAGTTCAGTCGGTCGCCTTGATTCGTAATGTGCTCACAAACAAGGAAAACCTCCCAAGAGACGGCTTCACCCAAGATTTAGATAAGCTGTTGAGCAACACTCTCTGCCGTGACCTGCTTTCAGCTGTGGAATGTGACAATCACTGAGCAGCCATCTGCCTCCACCATCACACAAGGGCACGCCAGACCACGGTGCAAAACTATCTGGGACTTATCTCCCTCTCTCTCTCTCTCTCTGTTTTTTTTTCTAAATTGGCTCTGAATATTTCTTCTATGAATATGCCTTGTGGTAACACTGCGTGACGGTGAGGGGTGACAGTCGGAGCACGCTGCACACAGCTTATGGTGGTCAAGAGAGCCTTTGAAAAGCCACAGCCCTCCCGCCCTGGCTCGCGCAGAGGCTGAGATCGGCCAGTCCCCCTCGGGCTTGCGCCCCAGGTTCCAGAAAAAACCCAACTGGAATCATTCGGCGGCGATCGTCTTCCTGCTGCTGGAAAAGACCCAGATCCCGATGCCAAAACGAGAAACGCGCCCGGCATGTCAGCGGAGCGGTAAAAAGGAGGGGGAAGAGAGGGGCAATGAACGGCGGGGGGACAACCATTTCTTTACGGGAGGAGCGAGCGAGTGAGCAAGGCACATAAAGAGGGTGTGTGGAAGCAATGAGTCCGGATCTGTGACTGGTGAGAGAGGAACTCACGAGGAACTGGGCGTGATCCGTCAAAAACAAAACAAACCTAAAGAAACGACATCAGGTGTGTGACTCTGATGTCATCGGACACAAGTCTGATGTATTCTATATCTCCTATAGCTGTGCCTTAATGACATCAGCAGAAACACCAAACCCAGTTTTGGCAGGCTTGCCAGCAGGTGGTTTGCAGGGTAGAGCAAAGGCAGCTGATTTACACGCTGAAGCTCAGCAGGTGTGAGCCTGGTCAGTACCTGTATGGGAGACCTCCTGGGAAAGATAAGGTTGCTGCTGGAAGAGGCGTTAGTGGGGCCAGCAGGGGGCGCTAACCCTGCGGCTAATGTGGGTCCTAATGCCCCAGTGTAGTGACGGGGACACTATACTGTAAACAGGCGCCGTCCTTCGGATGAGACCGAGGTCCTGACTCTCTGTGGTCATTAAAAATCCCAGGGTGTTTCTCGAAAAGAGTAGGGGTGTAACCCCGGCGTCCTGGCCAAATTTCCCTTCGGCCTTTATCAATCATGGCCTCCTAACAATCCCCCTCTATAAATTGGCTTCATTACTCTGCTCTCCTCCCCACTGATAGCTGATGTGTGGTGAGTGTTCTGGCGCACTATGGCTGCCGTCGCATCATCCAGGTGGGGCTGCACATTGGTGGTGGTGGAGGGGATCCCCATTACCTGTAAAGCGCTTTGAGTGGAGTGTCCAGAAAAGCCCTATATAAGTGTAAGCAATTATTATTATTATTATTATAGCTGATCAAGGTTCTGGTCTTATAACTGGAGGGTTGTGGGTTCAAATTCTAGGTGAGACACTACTGTTGTACCCTTGACTAAGGCAACTCGCCTGAATTGTTACAGTAATATACCCAGCAGTTTAAATGGGTGCAACGTTCAGGTGCTTTGCATAGAAGTGTCAGTAAATTAGGAAGTTCAGAGAAGTAGTGTGGCAGCAGTCTAGATTTTGTATTTACTGGGCCCGGTCATGGGATCACATCCCAGGGGGCAGCACTGCTGTCGTACATTTGAGCAGAATACTTTACACAAAACCAGCACCTTAAAAAAACAGAACTGTGATCTCTGTTTCAGCTGGAGAAAGCTTGCCAGCGAAATGCGTTTTGCGAAATTTGAATTAAAATAATTTTGACTCCAGTTTAACAGTTATGGTTCTTTATAACTTTAGAAGGTATCAAGCATGCAAATGTTTCAGTCCATGAGTTTTCATTGCTGCATTTGTCAATATGAAACCCGCCGTCCGTTCGACTGTGTGTATGTGAGGTTCATGTCTCTTCTTTTAAACAGGGAAAAAAAACAAAACAGAAAAGTCAAGGTCCCTCAACAAAACAATGTGATTGTTCTTGCACAAGAGAAATCCCAAGAATGAAATGGGATTCAGAGTTCCTAGAAACAAGCAGCTGCATCTGCTAGCTCTTTCAATGTCAAGCTGAAATCTCTTACCAGTACTCGCAGTTAATGACTCACACTCTGAGTCACACTCCAGCTATTTTTGCTTTTTAAAGTGCTGCCAGGCACTTTGTTAATATTCAACGCACTGTAAATTTAGCAGCTCATGAAAACACTGGTTTCCATGGAAGTCCAGATGAGCAGCCCAGATTGTAAAGAAGCCAGATGCCTCTATGGCCAGACTAAAGCAGGAATCTGTTTTCTTTTCCAGTGCACGATGTATAATAAAACACAGAATAACAATCAAATGCAATCAGAGCCTCATGGGTCCTCATTCACAAATCTGTCTTTGTTTAAACGACTAGACAAATGTGCATAAAAGCCGGAATAAATAATTTCTCTGGGTTGCAAAGCACTATATTGGTAAATTGTTGAATTTATCTGAAAAGATAGCATCACAATAGCATCTTTATCCTTAAGGGGATACAAAATCTCAAACTGCTGCATTTCTTACCCTTGCAGGGCAGTTTAAAGAAGTACCCATCAGATCAATAGTGTTGGACATAAGAGGCTTAAAAGCTGACTCTTGTGATGCGGGCTTCTTATACAGCAGCACTGTTTCAGCCTACTGCCGAGAGAAACGGAGGCTCAAACCTGTCAGAAAAGATACAACCCAGCTCATGATTTCAACTGCTATGCCAGATGAACCTGGAGAATCTAAAGTCCTTTGCTTCACTGCACTGAAGAATGGGAGAGGATGCTGGAAGGCAGATAATGATTTAAAAGTGAAAGACAAAAAAAGAGGACAGTGATCATTTTTTTCCTCTCCCATGTTTTTGTTAGAAATGGGTGTTGAGGCATCCATACAGGGCTGCCCCCCCATGGCAGGCTGTGCGAACTGCAGCCGGAAAGGAAAGCTATTCCTGGGCACAGAGCTTCAGTTTCCAATATTTAAGTGCGGTACTGTAAATCCTTCATCCTTAACCCCAAGAAGGGATTCTTCCCAAATTTTCTTGCTCTATGCTGTGTGAGGGCCTGTAAACTAATAACAACCGTGACTGAAGTCAACCTGAAAATAATTTTGAGTATGTTATTTGTATCCACACCGACCCCACCTCTTGTCATATGAGTAATAAAACAGGATCACAGGGATGGAAAAAAATCTCACTGAACACTTAAGGAGCTTAAAATGTAAAGGGTTGACCTCCAATTCCCGGTTCCTACAAAAAAACTCTTAAGAAGCAATTTCTATGACTATTTTAACCTTTTTTTAACTAGCAAAGCTCAATGCAGCACAAGCAGAGCAAAGTAAAGAAATAAACTAACACGGGCACTCGCGCTTGGCCAACACATGCTTTTCTTTTAGAGGGAGAAGGACAAGGACTCTGTTTAATTCGTGACTGTAACTGCCAATAAAACCCTGACACCACAAATGTCCTTCCCCTGAAAAATTCTTAAAAACAGTCTATGGGATTAAATATGCTCAACTAATCTCAAAACATGGCACTGGATATCGAAAAAAAAGTCTAAGGTAGTAATCACACTACCTTAGCAAGAAATAATAGCTCGGTCTGCAAAGGTGTGAGCCTGGTCAGTACCTGGCTGGGAGACCTCCTGGGAAAAACTAAGGTTGCTGCTGGAAGAGGTGTTAGTGGGGCCAGCAGGGGGCGCTCACCCTGTGGTCTATGTGGGTATAATGGCCCAGTATAGTGACAGGGACACTATACTGTAAACAGGCGCCATCCTTCGGATGAGATGGAAAATCGAGGTCCTGACTCTCTGTGGTCATTAAAAATCCCAGGGCGTGTCTCGAAAAGAGTAGGGGTGTACCCCGGTGTCCTGGCCAAATTTCCCATTGGCCCTTACCAGTCATGGCCTCCTAATAATCCCCCTCTATGAATTGGCTACATTACTCTGCTCTCCTCCCCACTGAGAGCTGATGTGTGGTGAGCGTTCTGGCGCACTATGGCTGCCGTCACATCATCCAGGTGGGGCTGCACATTGGTGGTGGTGGAGGGGAGTCCTCATTACCTGTAAAGTGCTTTGAGTGGAGTGTCCAGAAAAAGCGCTATATAAGTGTAAGCAATTATTATTATTATTATTATTATCTCACTTTAAAACTCTTTCGCTGCCTTCTACAGTAGGGTCTCAACAGCTGCAAATTTAAACATTCTCTCATCTGCGACAGGGTCTTGCATGGAAGAAGAGCAGAGAGGGCCTGATAAAAGACTCGGATCATGAGACGAATCTAGCTGGTGAGTACCCAGTACCCAGCAGCTGCATCTCCACATCTCTTGTTTGCACATTGTATCGAACGCCCCTGGTTCTGTGTCAGCAGCAGGAAGAGCGAAAAGCTGGTGATAGGTACTGACTCCCTTGTCCTTATCGTGGGGAATGCTAGTCACAGTGCCGGGACATAGCTGAGAACACAGACAGAGGAAGTGCAGGCATCCACTGGACGCAGAGGAGGGATTCATGTAATTTATATTACTGATTACTATAAGTCTGCAATTACTGTTTGTTTGTTGATCAGTGTTATTTTAATTAACTTAAGCCAATGCATGAGTACTTCAATTATCATATAAAGGAGGGTTGCTTATGTGTTTTAACCATACATACCGTACACTGTAGTAGATTATGCAATGGTATAGAGGTGGACTGGACATGGTTCAAAGCGAATCAGGCTGTTTGTGACAGCTCTCTGCGCTCAGATCCTATTGTATTTCACAAGTGACAGCAGGAAGGTAAGGGTTTCCCACGGTTGCATACAGGCCAGGCCGGCCACCTGGCCAAACAGATGCATAAATCACAGACAAAATGTACACAGTAATTCATAATGAAATGCCCTTTCATAGCAATACACCACAAGATCAATTGTCAGCCAGGTGCTGCATCGTTACGTAATTCAACAGCTCTCAAGTCTCACGCATTGGGACCGACACTCACGGACTCGCGCCTTGGTCTGAAAGTCTTTCATGGATCTGCATCAGGTCTAGGTTGATGAACCAAACACGGACTAATGAATGTCCGATTCTGAAATTGTTTTAGAGTCTCACAATTCTTTTAATTAACCAATGTCATTCTTGGATAAAAGAGAACATCGATACAAACAGTATGCAATTATAATTTTCGACGGCAAATGTCACACATTGGGTTTCTGGACCCTTAAGAGCTACGTTGTCAAGATGCAGAAAAAAGAACGCAGGGTTTCCACGCTGCTTAATCATCAGGTCACAGACAAATACTGCGCCCTCCGTCGCTTGCCACTTAATTTTCACAGTGGAAAAAAAACGTATTGCCTCACTGAGCACAATACAATAAACAGCGCCCCAATAGCTGCAAGAACCCAACAATGGCTTGATGCATACAAAAAATAGCAAATAGCAACTCGTTTCAAGCACATAGCTCTTCCTCTACCAGCATCAAAGATAGCCTACATCTTTGATGAATCCCATATAATCAAACTAGTTTTGTGGTCAAAAAACCTCTTCAGGTTAATACTGTTTAGTTACAGTAATAAGATCACCAGTTAATTGGCAAGCAGTAATCTAGCAGTTAAGGGACAGGGGCCTATTTTAGGGGGTTGAGATTACTACCCGGCTGAAGCTTTTTCCAGAGGGAAACCCTGAAGGGTATAGCCTATTTCTCCGCAGTTACAACAGCTCGCCTTCCCAGGCTGCACCTCCACACACGTCAGGACAGTACGCCCGAGTCGGAACCTTACCTACTGTCACCTTGCTACGTTTCAGAGTCTCTTTCAGCTGGACCACCTTCTTGTGCTTGTGTAGCTGCGAGTCCTTGGCAGCAGCCTGGAGGTCAGTAAACCTTTGATTTACGAGGCCCGTCAATTTAGACAAGCCCTCAGGGTCATCCTGCCTCACCTGTGAGATTGAAAAGAGTGGGGGGGAGTCTCAAAAGCTGAAGAAAGCAGTGGCAACACTCACTCCTATTGGGAAAACCACCAGCACTACAGCTATTCCCCGACTAACACAAGTTCTATAAAATTATCTTGAAAGCGGCATTAGACAGATGATTTATTCTTAAGACATTATGGAAATATGGAGTGGATTCTTTCCACCCACAACTCAGAATCAACAAATTTGGACATTTTACTGCTTTATTATGACCAGATTTTGGTTAATGCTTTTAGTTTTTGCCTCTTTTTGTTTGTTATGCTTGAACATCACCTTTTCACTTTTTTCAGCGAAGAAAATAATCACAACTAAAATAACGATGAGAAATGAATGAAGAAATAATGATAATTTCAAGGAGTGTGGACACGAGAGTGGGGAGAGTAAATGGGTTATACAATAGGAGGAAACAATGGCTAACCTCATACGTGTTTTTATGATAACCATTTTAGGTTTTAACCAATTTGAATACTTTCATACATTCGTTTTGTACATTAACTTTGCATTTCTATGAATGTTTCAGATTCACTGCACTCAAGATGGTAGCAAGGACAATATCGAAAAATCTACTTAAAGTTAACTGAACAGATTTCTTCAGAACAGCGAAACACAACCTAGAGGGCACACATGGAAATTACGTGGACCTGCATTTAAAACGGAGAACATGAGGCCCTTTTTTTCCCCCAAGGTTTGTGTGAGTAAGAAAAAACCTACTTATCCATGAGGTTGAATCCGGTACCTTTGCTTCCGTTAAGAGATGAGATGCTTGGATCTCTTACCTAGTTATTACCACATGGGTTAGTTGGGCTGATTGGCCTTCTCTTGTTTGCTACAATTCTTCTATTCTTCTGATATCACATATTCATTCATTGTTTTCCTACAGCTTGATCATGTTGATTGGGCTCTAAGCTTATTGCTGTTTTTTTTGTCCTGTTACCATCTCCACTCCTGTTCATTACCCTGCCTTCGTCAATCATTTTGGTTTCATGGCCTCGAAAGCTGTGCAGTCAAGTCACCATGCTTCTTCTTCAATGATCGACAAAAATCATGACAAACCTAGTGCGTTAGTAGGACAACAGCACAGCTTCTAACCCGAGTGCCTTAGTTGTTGCTCAGCACCGAGTGTGTTAGTCAGTGTCTACCCCTGCTTCTGAAATTGTGTTAAATCAGGTACATTAGATAGTGCCTTAGAGCCCCTGGCAATTAGCATAAGTAATCATCCGAGCATTACAGGCATTAAGGTTGCCAAAACAGAAACCTGTATGCTATATGCTTATGATGTAGCTAAGGTTCCTAAGACCCTAAGTTAATGTTTAAACTTAACTACTCCGTAATGATCTTAAAGATAAAATAAAATATCAAGAGTTGGAGGACTGTCTTCGAGCACATAAATGTTATAAAGATGATTTTACTGCCCAGATTATATCTGTTCCAGAATTTGCCTCGTGTTCCTTACTGAATTTTTTTTTAAGACTGTAGACTCAATTATTACATCATTGCTCTGGAACTATAAGATGCCACTTATTTCTAAAGATCATTTTAAAAATCTGCCTTTTGACATTATTACTGCACTGCAGGTGCAAGGGTCATGACATATTAGCAAGCTGGCTTTCCCCAAAAGTCTAGTATAGACAGAAATACAGCTGTGTGGTTAGACTTTGAAGAACAAGTCCACACTAAAACCTCTGTCGCTGCTCTGCTTTTTTCTGTAAAATTGAATCAAAATAGCACAAGTGTTATCGTGAGGAACAACATGGGAATACTAGATTGGACTAGAAATTAGATAAACCTTTAGTTTAAGTCACATCCATGCCATAACAAAATGAAGTGTTTACATAATGGAAGGAAAAAGGACTGATTACTTGATAATATTTGTATATAGATTATAATTTGCATCATTTAGTAAGTTATAAGTTTCATTTTATGCAATGGCCTATCAAATGTAGATATTTAATTCACAGTATGTGTTTTTTTTTACAAGCCCACTGAGGTGTCTGTTAATCACCTGAAAGATGAATGGTGCAAGGAACTGAATATTTAAATTTCCACTGTGGTTTGAGAAGAGTCTGAGCAATGCTCTATTAAGGCAAGGTCATACATCGACTTCATTATGCTAAAACTGAACTGAACGAGGCACGTCCTTTATGTGAAAGCTGCAGGTGTTCTGATGGCGCACTAAAACACATCGTCTGGCTGTGTTCCAAGTTGCAGAAATTATGTGTAGAAATACTGCAGATCCTGAATTAACCATTTGGTTGTTCAGAGCCAACATTCAGACGTGTAGAACAATCAGCACTGACATTCGGAATGATTGGGGCATAAGAAATGTTCTTTAAGAATTTAAATATGGCATTGTACCCTGTTTCAAGAGCGGGCTCAATCAGATGATCTTGAATGAGGTGACTGAGAGGATTTTTTTTCTGCAGAAAAAGCACTCTGGAGTGATTCCTTAGGGCATGGGAGTCCTTTCTTAAATACTTTCAAAAACACCGAGCTTTGTACATATCCTAGCAGGTTTTATACATCCGATTCTTTTGTGATTACTTACATCACAGAGTCTAACTTTATTCTTATCTCAACAAAAAAAAGTTAAAAGGGTTAAGCAAGTTTGTGCTTTTGTTCAGTTCATTGTCTGGCTCTTTTTTTTTGTTTGTTTGAATTGTTTCTTAGTTTTTGTTTGTGTTTGATTTGTTAAAATGTTCAGAAACCTTCTTAAATAAAATTCTTTAAAACAGAGGTGCCTTAGTGGGTGAATAGCCCTACTTCTAAAAACCCATTAAACCGAATCTGCTTGTCAAAACTGTGTTAGTTGGGGAATACCTGTAGTTCACTCAACAGGAGAACAGAATGTGGCTGCACACACTGTACTTCTAAGGAAAATATATATAAAAAAACTTGCCTTGGAATTTTCTTTCCACTTCTATGTTTACAATACTGGCTTTTTTAAATTGTGCCACCGCAACAGCATTCGAACGGACGTAAATGACAGATTTCATATACACGAGCACGAAAAAGTAGGAAATCTGTTTCTTATCAAGATGATCTTTCAGTGTTAGTTTAGAAGGAAAGGGAAAGAATTATGGATTTATACTGAAGGATCTATCACTTTACCACAAACATAAACTGGGATTTTGTGTAGCTGAACTCTAGGCTCCCACAAAGTGACGTCCACTGACCATCCAAAGCGGTTTATCTCCACCCTTCATTCTATCGTGGTTAACGACACTGCCCTGTGCCTGTCCTGTTCTCATAACATCACGGGTATCAGTTCTCTGTTTGTACAGGAACTGTGGGAAACGAGAGCAGCTTGAGAGTGTGTGAGTCACGGATGGAGAATCTGTCTGACTCACACAAACACTGCGCAGATGAGTCATTGCTGGCCATTCAAGTCTTTTTGACAGACAAACTATTACAAACACAAAGCCAACATTCTATACCTTGGGTGCGTATGGCAGTGCTTAATGAAAGCTGTTCGGTCAACATTTTAATGGGTGGCCCATTGAACTTTTTCTTTAGTGAATCGAGATAATAATCTGAGCAAGATAAGGTTTGTTAATCAGTTGTTAAGCTCGGAAAATACAGGTCCAGCAAAGGTCTGTTATGGGAAGGAATCAGGACATGCGGGGCAGGCAATGTGGTTTCAAAGTCTCACTGTCAGTTTTAAGGTGGACTGGGCAGGCGCGGTCTAAAAGGAAATGCAACTTCACAAGCTGGGCAGGCAAAATAACTAGAAACCTTGGTATGCATCTGACGCCCCAAGACAAATGCAGGCAACAAAACTGCTACCAGGAGAGAAAGGTCTTTTCCCTCTTGTCCTACCTGTGAGGTCACTTCTTCCACTGCTGCTACAAAATAGTTGATCTCTCTCTCCATTCTTGCACAGTTCAGCATCATTTGCTCCAGCTTCTTGAAATCTTCCTCGCTGCCTGTAATTCAGAGGAGCTGTGAGCACCAGCCTTTTTTTTCCCCCCCGTTTTGGGAACTGGAGGGTCGGCACTGCAACTACACATCCACAAAGACAAACCTCATATCAAGCATTCAGAAAGGGTGAAAAAAAACAACAAAAAGACAGGCAAATTTGGAAATGGAGGTTATAAACCTAATCATGACAGAGATAATACAGTACCATCTCAGCTATCGACTACCATCTGCATATATTCATGAATATATACGAATGTATTCATTAATATTAACAAACTGAGTTGCTCAGAGGTTTGAGGATCCCGGGACTTGTTTCCTCTGTCTCTCTCACAGATTTTGAGCAGTCCTCAGGCCCGAGACCTGCTGGAAACCTGTACGACAGGTCTGCCCCGACACACACCGTCACCCTCATCGTGACGTCAGTACTGCAGGCATCATGAAAGGACCAGCGAAGGAACATGAATGAACTGCGGAGCTGTGACATACAGAGGCCCTTCTCAGCCTAAAGGGTGGCTGGGGTGTGGAACAAGTTAACCAGCCATGTGGTTGTGGTTTAAGCTGACACCCTGGCTTCTTTCAAGAAATGGCTGTATGAGATCCTTGGATTAATTAGCTACTGACTACCAAATGGGCCAAATGGCCCCTAATGTTTTTACTCCCACGCCGCTCTCAGAGGTCCAACACGTCATGTGGCAGGGGTTCCCAGCCACATAATGTGCTGCATAGAGAGGATATGTGTACAATGATGTCCACCTATATTTTCAATGAAAATTAAGTATTTAGTCATTCAATATATTTTGGAATCCTCTGTTGAATATATATATATATGAAAGACATATTTGTCTTGACAGCGTCAACTATGTTACTAACCTTTCTGCAAAATGAACTGGTGTGTATCCCAACATTTTAACGGCAGTGTGCATGTATGCATAAGCACATACATACATTTGGATGCATATTTACACGAATACATGCAGTCAACCAATTCTAAACTGATTCTGTTTGTCTGCCGCGGCCTGCCAGATCATATAAAAGTATTCACCTCCGTTCTCTTGTAAATCCAGGGCCACATTAGTCACAATGTCCATGCCTATACTGATGTCAGGCTGGCAGGTCTTCAGGGAGGTCAGGTTTGATTTCACCACGTTCAGCGACATTGCTGCACGGCTCTCTGAAACTGCAGCAGGAACCAAAGCAGAAAAATAAAAGCACCTGTCCTTTTAAAGCCTCTTGCACAACTGCTTCGAACAAATTGCGTGACGCACGAAGAAAAAAAGGTATGAATATAAGCATAAAACCTTACCCTCATTATTCTGGGAGAAGAAAAAATGCTCTGGAGCACTTCCACAAATTGTTAATCTATACATTACAAGTGCCTTGCAAAAGTACTTAGTTCCTTGCACAGTTTTCAGTGCTTTTAAATCTTGTAGTCCTGACACTCTGAAGTAATAATTAATATTTGGCATATTTACATTTTACTACACACATTCAAAGCAAAAAGAGTACACAAATAGTAATAGGAAGCAAAAACTGAAAAGTCACAATTGCATAAGTATTCAAATCTTCTGCTTTTGCAAACTTTAATTGAGGTGCACAGAGTTACCATAAGGAGATCAGTGGAGTGTTCTCTGTCTGTCTGCCATAATAGTTTATTTTCAAGAAAAGACTTGAGAACTACTGTCTACAAGTGATCCCCAAGCAACAGGACAGAACTTGAGCAAATCCGCTTTTAGAAATGTGCACGAATGGCTGCCCAAGGGGTGTCCACTCAATATTGAGCTCCTGGGTCTGAATACTTGTGCAATCAACACATTTCAGCCTTGTCTCTGGGTGTTGCTAACATTTACTGAAATGTACCAACCCACAGTCTTCAGCGGGAGCATTTTGAACAGGTATGGATCGATATTTTTAAAACAAAACCTGTATGCAAATCTTTGTCAATTCCCAAGACCGGACAGTACAGCCTAAACAAACTATTTCAAACAACAGTAATTTAGCAACTTAGTGCAAGAATTGCAGCTTCACAGATGAGCACCTTGCACGGCTTCTGATGATGACTCTCACGGCTAAACTGACCCCGAGTTGATCAGAACACTGAATTAACACTGGTCACGAGTCTTCAGTAAAATATCAGCGCGCCTGCTACAAACACTTCACTTTATGAATCTGTTGTATTTTTTTATGCATTATAAAGCACAACCTTTAATCTTGGTTTTCATTTTAAGATTACAGTGCCATAGTACATCCTTGAGAAAGCTCAATGTGCATCAACAACGTGACAATGAAATGACAGCTAATTCTACATAATCCGAAAGTTATTGCACTAAATTAGACAAGGTACTAACAACGATACTACAGTGCTTTATGGAAATCTGATTACTAACCCCAAATCCCTTGAATGTGACTATATTATATTAATGTGATTATATATTTTTCACAGAAAGCTTAAGAAATCGCCGCGTAAACCCTGACTCTAAAATCGAATGAAATGGAAGTAAGCCACTACAAACAGTTTTCAGTGGTTTGGGCTTAAATTTATATTTGGCAAATTTATATTTTAATTACGATACTTTCCTAATTATAACTGGCGTGTGAACATCATTTATTCACTAAGCTTAGATACACCAATGAGACGAGCAATTACCTCGTCAGATGGATTGTTTATATTTTGCGGCTATAATACAAACCTGAGTTGACCGGCAATACTTGCTACCACAAACGAAATAAATGTTATTGTATAATCACCTTCATGCTTAAACACTGTAAGAACTACAGCAGAAACAATGTTTAAGAAAAAAAGACACCTTCACAAACCTGAAACTTTGAAACCAACCCGCAAATCACGCTTCCTGGTGTTGACTTCTGGGACATGTAGTTATTTTCTTGCCTTCTGGACTGGAAGCCACGACGATACAAACTACGTATCCCATGGGGCAACGCTCCTTAGCTCAAAGGAAACACGTAAGAGCTGCGACCTTCGGTAGGGAGAGTTAGGTTTTAGTGCCACCGCCTGTTAAAATAAGGCACCAACAGGCTATATCACAGGCTTCGTGTAAACAAACCCTAAATTAACCCAAAGTGTGTTAGATGTGCCTATACATATGTCTTTTTAGGGATTATAATCTATATACTGTTTAAAATTAATTTTTATACTGTAAAATGAGAGGAATATAAAAAATACCACAAAGATAAAATTATCATGTCAATTATAGTGGTTTATTACAGATGCTGAACATAAAAAAGACCCTTATTAGCTGTTTCCTTTAGGATTACGGAGAGTTACGGGATTCAGTCGGATACACGGTTATTTTCAGTTCTAAATTTCTATACCATTAAATTTCAACATGTCCTTGGTGTCCATGTTTGGTTATTAATAATAATAACGACAATAATAATTATTATTATCATTGTTATTATTACCTTCCTTATCCATAGTGCGCACAGTACACTCACCACACAAAAGCTATCGGTGGGAACGAGAAAGAGTGATGAAGCCAATTCTTAGATGGGGATATATGTAATGTTTCTTTATTGGCCCTATACAAGTCTTTTCGCATACCCCAGCTTTTCTCCATGGAGACACAGACACACAGACAGGGAGAGAAGCCTGTGGTCAGAGCGCAGGGTCTGCCATTGTACGGCGCCCCTGGAGCAGTTAGGGTTAAGGGCCTTGCTCAGGGGCACAACGGAGTAGGATTCCCCTGCCGGCCGCAGGACCTTCCAGTCACAGGCGCAGATCCTGAGCCACAGAGCCACCGCTCCGCCCTATTAGGAGGACAGACACCAGAGCAACACCCTTGGATTAATGACCACTGGGAGGGAGAACCTCAGTGTTACATCTCACCCGAAGGACAGCACCTTTTTTTTGCAGTATAGCGTCCCCGTCGCTATACTGAGGCATTCGGACCCACGCAGACTGCAGGGTGAGCGCCCCCTACTGGCCCCACTAACAGCTCTTCCAGCAGCAACGTTGGCTTTTCCAGGTCTCCCATTCAGCTCACACCCGCTGAGCTTCAGTGGGGCTTCCAGTTGTGAGTTGCAGGGTGATATTGCAGCTGGCTGATGGTTTGGTTGATACTTACCAGAAGTTTTAATTGAATCAAAGCAGAAATGTGCTTTGTTTTCTACAGACACGGAATACCACTAATTTACAGATAAAACTAGAGTTGGATGCAGTATGTAAGATTTTTTGTAATGTTTGTAAATGAGAACTCTTTTTTTGGTATGGAATATCAACAGTATACGTGTATAGCCAACACGATTTAAGAACAAATTCAGTGCCTGAAGGATGAGGTTTTGTCGTAAACTTTCCAAAGTATTAAAATAAGTAGTGCTGTGGGTCACTAAAGAAACAGACATAAAGAAGAAGTGTACTGTACTTTAGTTTTTTACTGTAGTACTGTAGTTATTTAATCACTATCACCAGTGACCACTACAATACTCTGTGTGATTTGCCACAGGGCACTGATATCAATCACAATTTTCAGACTCCCCCTCTTCGAAATACCTCTGTGTTGCCACTGGGTGGAAAATATTTTTTTTTACACCAGACAGTACATAACCAATGAAAATTAAGTAATTTGTTGAAAATGTTATGGTCCAAAACTAAACTTAATCTTAATGTAACTGAAATGCCATGCGTCATATAAATGTCTTGTATGGTTGGGGAGACCATTCAAATATTAATGATGGAATGGCCTATGAAAAACCATTCATTTTTGCTGCCAAAGAAACATAATAAAAGACCCACTGAATGTTCCACCACCTTATGCTCAATTAAGATCTTATGACACACATGCGGCAGGAACGTTCTGAGAAGTCTACTTCTTCTGATAAAACAAATTCCATTTCCCCGAGTTGAGTAGATCAAGCGAGTACGGTACAGGTTTGGTACCGCTTAAATAACCAAGGCCAAAACAGTGAAGCACCTAATTTATTAATAAGAGATCACATGGCATTTTGTATAAACTGTTAGACAACTTGTTTTTAGCAAAACTGCACACATTTTATCCAGTTAATAGCTGTATATTAAAGACACGTAGTTAACGACACTAAACATTCAGTCACTGCGTTGGTTAGAAACCTAGAAGCGAAAAAAGGCCCATTAGAGCTTGAAGCCCCCGCAGGCTATTGAGATGAAGGGGGTGAGCCGTGTCATACGAAGGCCCAGGCCCCCCGCTGCAGTCTTGTGACCAGCCCCATCACAGAACTGTTCGAAACTCATCGAAGATGAAGCTGGGGACGTGGGCTTCTGCCACCTGCGAAACAAAAAACACGGCACCATGTTGAGATTTCACAGGTAAACAGACAGCAACAAACACTGCCAGATCAAAAGCTTGACATTAAATTAAGCCACCTGCTTAACATTAGGGAACTACTGAAACAGCCCAGGAGGTTCCGCATTCTCAATTTTAAATTCCCCCCTGCGTGTAAAAGCCACAGGAACTAAGCCTGACGGGGTCAAGAGCTGGTCTTGTCCGCTTACCTTCCGGGGGAGTTTGGTATAGTGCACATAATCCTCCAGGAACATGAGCGCCCCGACCACATCCGACGGCATCTCCGGAATCTTCTGGCTGGGAATACATTAGAAGAAAACGCTGACTCCTAGAATTGCACCCAAGAACATTAAACTAAAAAAAAAAAACCTTAGCAACTCTATATTGCTCCTGCTGGATTTCTGTAGGCTTTTTTCAACCCTGCTCCAAACAAAGACAGTTTTTGCGTTTAAAGAAGTGTGCACCATAGGCGTAAATCATAATGTGAAAAAATGTGACCCGAGTGAAAGAGACCACTTTTGTTTTTAAATCAGCAGCACTCGGAATGACGGCTTTTTCAAAATGCCTCAATGCTGGGCTTCTCATCCCAAGTCCTCAGGATCTTCAAACCTGATTGTTTTTGTTCTAGTGAGGAAAGATGGCTTTGAAAAGGGGAACATCACTGGTAGTGAAGACTCAGTTGAGATCTATTCTGGGTGGGATACAGGCAAATACAGGAAACAATACTGTAAGAGGGCAGTAGCTTCAGGGACGATCAGAAGCACATTACCCAGGCTGCAGTGGGGAATGAGCTATTGTCCTCAGTCACCTGACAAATTCTGAGGAGATGATTGGTCAGGTTGTAGTTAAAGATAACCCCACAGTCAGATGGTTCCATTTGCTTTAGGGAGGATCTGCCCTCTGTCCCCAGAAAGTACATGAAAGACCATTCCTGGAGGTTTTCCCGCGTCTTGATTTTTACACGATCAGCAATCGTGTCATATTTTCTGACGTGGTGACTGAAGTGACTGAAAGCAGCAACTCATTCCGCACAGCTTTCTGGGGAATGTGATTCATTCTCCACTGCGGCTGAACCTACAGCCTTATTAATAGATATGGTTAGATTATGCCACAGAGACCATTTGTTAATGGACAAGCTATGGGTACAATTAAAAAAAAAAGGACCAAATCTCTCTCTTAGTAGTCTGCTATATTTTTAGAATTGCTGAGATGACGTGTCAGAAGTGATCATTTCAGGGGTTCTATTTTGTGCATTTCCAAAGAATAATCCCAGTAGTGTGATACCTCGTGCACTGCTCCATTATGGAGCGAACGAACTGGCCAATCAGAGCCAGAAACTGCTCAGTGTATCTGGAATGGAACTGCTTCAGGAGGGTAAGCAGACCCAGCACAAGAGGAGGCCAGTCAACTGGATCAGTCGACTTTCTGCAGGTCATTCCTGAAAGAGCAGAAAGAAACTGGAACAGACTCGCACAGACAGACCAGAAACAGCAGCAGAACTGAAAAACGGCTAAACCACAGAGGCCTGAAAGTGCAGATTCCAAATAAGACGATCCTTAATTCAAAGAACTGCACTGCACAGAGAATAGAAATATTACCATAAAACTATCCCACTTAAATCTGTCAGTCAGGCTTATACAAAGTCTAAAATTACGCAACACACAAACAACAATGGCCCAAAAAAAATGTCAGCCTTGCACTGAGCTATAAAGCTGAATTTCGTACCTTGGTTTTTGTTGTACTGCAGCTTAGGAAGCTGAGCAATTAGAAACAGAAAGTTCACAATGGGGAAATATGGTAACCGCTTGGTGGTTATGTAGATCTAGAGCAAGAAAAAAAAAGTTAATTAGCACAAATATTTCACTGATTGGCACTGGTCGCCCTGAAGAAGCTCTCCAATCCCGTGGTTCTGTTGGAAGTGGAACTGCATCTCCACTACTTTCGACCTTGAGAGAAAAAGGAGAAAATAGACTGTCGCGACCTCTTGCAATCACACACAAGCCTCCACTAATTAGAGAAGGCGTAGACGTCGGAATTAATAATCCAATTACCCCTCCAGATCACTACCACACCTTCCAGCGCCAGACTACTTAACAGCAGCGGTGCTCAGTATTGGGAATCCCTGTTGAGTTTCACGTCTTGCCTTCGCAGCTTCTCTCCTGAGCTCTCTATTGTGTGTTTCTGGTTCCTGGACTTCGATTCCCCTTGACAACGATTCCAGATCGTGATTTACAGCGAAGTGCTCCTGGTTTTCTAGCCCCATGCTCCTGCTATGCTTCTTACTACCACATAGGGTCCATCTGCCATCAACTCCGCCACGCGCTGGCGTAACACAGACCTTGATACGGCAGCAACCGAATCACTTGAAGTCACTCATGAGACATGCTGTCTCTCAGGGTAAACTGCAGTTCATCTGTCATGGAAGACACTGTTGTCTGAATTGAAAAGACAATAGGAACGTTGAAAGCAGCTTACTTTGTTCAGGGGGTTGTGAATCCCGGCAGCCTCCAAGTACGCCGTGATTTCATACAGGAGGGTGTTATCCTCTTTGGGGTACGGCAGGGAAGGGTCCTGGTAATGAGCCTCAATGTCAGAAAGGAGAGACCTGAGGATAATAAACAGCTCGTCAAATCCTGTAGCAGCAGAAGTGCTGTGATTAATTCCCTTTAATTCCAGCATTTTCAACACAAAGCACTATTTAACCTTCTTATACAGGCTCGAAAATGAGTCAGTTTGACGTATCTCATTGAAAATGATTTATTATCAAGGTGAGATGTAAAGCAATTTGTTTTCAAGGTGCCTTTGCCTTGGGGAAAAAAAACCCAATTCAGCCATGAAGGTGAGCTGTTGGTTGTTTTAAAACCACGAAGCACAAGGCTTTGCGTGTTTGAGCGACACAAACCTACTTGTTCAGATTTTCCAGAGCAGCAGCCAGGTGCTTCGAGTCAAACTTGCAGGAGTAGTTTAACTCATTAGCTATCTGCTGTCTTAGAATCTGCATCTGACCAACCTGTGACATTGAGAAAAATAGATAAGGATCATTGAGTGTTTACACTAGGACAAATATTCCGTCTTGAATGGACAAGAGTACATATTCCAGTATATTTGTGCAGTAAATATCCTGCAAAGTGTTCTCTTGTACCCTCATAAATTTAGGTCACTTTCTGGTACCACCAAATTATTTTCTACATAAACACATTGAGAACTCATTCTAGCCACAAAAAGTACCCAGAGTCCACTACACACCAACAAGCCCAGTAATCTCATTTCCACCTTCCCAAAATTCCTCCTGGAAGCTGAATTGAAAGTCACAACACAACAAAGAAAAGCTTCAACATCAAGTTGTTGCATCAAAATAAGGTAACTTAATTTTACTAAAAATATTCTTAAACGACTTTTTGATGATTTTATACATTCATTTAATACACTCAATGCTACAGTCATGCTACAGTCTCATTTTCTGAGCAAGGCAAAGACCACTTGATAAATCTTCTTCTTTACCTATACTGTATCTTAAGAAAAGAACAGAAAAACATAATACCTTCATAATTGCTTCCAAATACGAGGTCCAGATTTTTTGTGTTTTTGCAACAGCTGCGGAATACACTTTATTTGCATTCCCTGAAAAAAAAATACATCAAAATAAATGTTTCCTACTTTACTGAAATATATATTGTTATACATAAATTGTGAATTACTTTTTTGGCTCTTACCAACAATTCCTTTAACAGGGTTTACAGAATTCAGCAAAGCTTTGAAAACATCAACCACAGTTCTGTCCCGAAGGATTGTCTTCTGCAACATGTTCAAGAAGTTCTGCAAATGGGAAGAAGCATGTGAACACACAAGGGGAAATGAAAATTCAATTTTCACACCTATCAGTGGCATTTCCACGGCACAGAAGTCTGAATTTTCACTGGAAATGATGACCATTTAACAGACTGGCAGTACTTCTACACATTCATTGAGGTTTAAATAACAAAATAACAAAAGAAGGAAAATGTGAAAATTTTGAAAAACAGTAGATCAGAGCTAAATTTCAGCTCCTAGTCATATGGAGGGGTCCTCAGTTTAGTCCCCGATAGACAATAGACAATACTTCAAAAACAGTATTGTAATTAGTAACAGTAATTAGGTGTATAGAACTTATTCAAGAATATTGAATATTCAAGAAGAATTATTCAGGCATTTCTGAAAAACATTTCTAAAACAAAGGAGGTGTGAGTGTGAGCTTTCCCTCCAATTGCAATTCAATTCAATTTATTTTTATATAGCGCCTTTCACAACAGGGTTTCCCCAGGGTGCTTGATTTCCAATACAGGTGTCCTCATCTGTGCGTTACCCGACATAATACTCCCAGTGTTCTCCAGTTACAAGCGTCACCCATCCAAGAGTAACCCCAGGTGTGCTGGGAACATCAGTTACCTGTAACTCCTTCACAATCATGAAACAGAGAAGTCTGTCAAGGCCATTTAGCCCAAACGTTCCCAGTGTGTCTTGGATCTCTGAAAACAGTCTGTTGTTGGTCACCTCCTGACGCGTCTTCATGTCATACCATGTGTTCATCTGGTCAATGTAGCACGTCACTCTGGAAGAGAAAAAAAAATCAACTTTTCTACAGAATTTTATACGCAGCAAGTACCTGCATATAAACATATGAACAGGAAACAGTTCATTCCGTGCTGAAAGGAAAAGAAAAGAGACACAACAATTTGGCTGTGGGCCCAAAAAGACACCTGAAGAAGGCTCCACAGCCAGAACAGTGTCTCTTTTCTTTAATTACCTTTGCAGCCTACGCATGCTGACACAGCCACCTACTTGAACTTCTATGAATACATGAAACGCCACAACCTACTTTTTTGACAAATCATTACCTTCTCACACATCGAAAACCTGTGAACACATGTAAGAACAGTCAGCAAATGCATCCTGTCATGAAAATGATGTCATGGCACTGTCAGCAAACTGCCTTTTACTATTGACCATAAAACACAAAGAAAAAGCACAGAGCTTGTGAGTTGCGTGCAATCAAATCGGCATGCAATCAAATGATTTGCATATTAAGATCAAAATGACAAAACAAATTACTGAGGCTCCCAGGTGCACTCCGTGCTGCAAAGACATGCTGCCGCAGGACAGAACATCTGGGAAGTTTCAGGATTGCATCAATCCTATACGTGTTGACCATTTTTTGAATTATTGTGTGGCCATTTTTTTTAAATATCGAGAACACAGATCTGTTTCTTAGTAATTTTTTTCAGGCGTTTTAGAATGTATACAATTTAGTTTAGCTATACAATAACAAAGAAATATTAATTTTGAATCATGTTCCAAGTATTTTTCATTGCTTGTGTGGTGCATACTTTGGGTCTGTGATCCTTAGAATCTCTCGACACAGGCGTCCAATGAAGGTGGCGGACTCGTCCACTGGGGGGAACTTTGGAATGGGGATGTGGGTTGACTGGTACACACTCTGCCAGTCTTGGATCTACGGTGATAGAAAAGTACAACCCTGATCACATCAGGCACCTTCGCGTCTTCAAAAGCAAGCACGGCACAGCGTCAGCAACAATAAAATACGGAGGAATTAAGAACTGCCATCTGGTTTCTAATTATTTGCACATATCCTCTGTGTGTTTTTTAAGTGGTAATCCATTTAAAGTCATACACTTCTGTTATAATTCTGTGTTCTGGTGAGTAAAATGTAAGCTTGTACAATGAAAAGCTTTACTTTTCTTCTTGAAAGTTCCCTATACTCGTGTCTCCCCCTCCCATGTCTATACTATCATAATTAGCCACATGACCAGTGGCAGTAAAAACAGCCTCCAAATGGACAATCCTATTCTGGTAGCTAGGAGATGTGTAAATGATGAAATGGGAGCAACATTAACCTGTGAAAAAGAAACGACATGCCCCGTTTCTACAATCTATTTAAATAATAAAGAGGCTTTTTACACAGGTGCTGCTCTGTGATATACACTTCACACATCTGTGCCTTCTAATAAGTACTCCAGCAGATCAGTTTTAGTATTTCGTATCTGGCTTTCGTGAAAGGCAAGTGAACCGCTGGGTTACAGAGGAATTTAAATAAAAATGTATCAAGCAAGGAACCAGAATAAAAGCTCTCACCTTTGTCCTGAGAAAGCTGTTGCACTCCTGCTCGACGTTGTAGTTTATAATGCGGGACACCTCCTCCTGCCAGATTTTCAGGCCGTAGATACTCACGTAATCCTGGATGTACTCAAAGGACCGATAGAAGCCATCCATAGTGGCAGCCATTTCCTTTAGTTTGGGCATCAGCTCACTAGGCTGCCAGAATGAAGGAGAGAGGGGTTTAAATACAGAGCTGACTCTCTAGCTTTTAGCAGCCTTCAGTACACCTTTCAAGACATTATTCCGAAACTGTAAAACAAGATGGAGAAATGGAGGCTCTTCTCAGATCAATACAACTGAAAAGTATGATATTCAGTATATGTACTGTAACTGCATGAAGCAGTGAAAATGTTTAAAAATTACATATTTTTTTACATATTTAAGTAGGTAGTTTTCTCTTTGATGCTGCAGCAGCGTATTCACAGTCTAATTTCACTGGTAGAGAGAAATATGGGATACAGCTACTGGAGTTATCACCAGAACAAAAAATAACGTAATAAAATGTCAAAAAATACAATTGATAAGTTAGCGAACTGCAATATAAAATACTTTCCAATCTTGTTATTAGAGAGAAATATTTGACTATGAAGATGATCTGTAATTTGTGGTACAGAAAAACATATAAGGAAACATTGGGAAATAAATTCTTCTTTTTAAAATCCCAAGCATTTGATCAGTATGGAATACACATTGATCAAGTTCTAGTTCTTGAACTCTAGTGCTTGAGTTTAATGAAACAACTGAGATATTATAAAAATAAACTGACATTTGTAGGAAAGTAAACTTTGATTTATAACCTGGGCCTGCAAATGCCCCTTCCATAAATCAAATCATACTATTTTTAAACACAGTGAGATGTCAATACATATCTTCACTCCTGAAGGCTTTCACAGTTTACTTTGATTTGGATCTCAGTCAGTAGATGAATTCTCACCTTAGATTTGGGGTTGAAGATGAGACCCTTATGAAGAGCAAATGCTACTCTTCTCACTAATTCTTTCCTTATGCCATCTTCCAGTAACTGCTTAGGGTCAACCTAAGATAATCACACAGGGGAAAGACCATGAATGTCACCACCACGTCTTGCTGTTTCTCCAAGTTCATAAACCTGTTGCATTTAGGTCATTTCATCCACGATCTTCAGTCATAATTTGGTTAGGTTCTGAGTTCAAACACAATACTGCCCTATCACTACTTCTTCTCCCTCCTGGGAAATCCATCAGTAGCCTCGAGAAATATATAAGTATTTATGAATCCTCAAAATAATATACTGCTATTGACGAGGACTGATCTTATTAACTCAACTACCAAATATGAGCTTCTCTGACCTAGCAGTCTGAGTCTAGCAAGCTATACCACTTTCGTGGTCTGACGTACTGAAACACCATTTTTCTTTGAATCTAAAGGACTGTATTTTTAACACAAGGTATTTCTTGAGTCACGACAGTGGAAACTGTTCTCAGGCCTGGGTTGATCTGTCCGTTTAGTAAGGGAAGTTTCTGTGCAGTGTGCAGACATTGACATAAGAAAGCACTTCTGGCAGTGTGCAAATCCGACAGATTTCTTTGCTAACTTTTCACATGCTTGGACCTAAAGCGCAGAACTGCAGAAATACCCTATATTATAACAAGCCTTAGGGTAAAAGAGGGTAAACTTAAAAATACCCTTAAACGTCAACAATGCACCTTATTAGAGTTTGATTTGCAAATAAGATTAGTCAACTTTATTCAAAATAAAGGATTTACAGATCATGTCTAATAATGGCATTACTGCATCTACCTTGATGATGCCAACAAGGGTTGTTTTCATCATAAGGATTCCTTCGGTGAAAATTGAAATGGCATGAGTCAGTTTGGCGACCTAAAATCATGTGAAAGAAAACAGGACAGCAGTAAATTAGTCTACTACGATGCTGTATCAGAAGTGTTTAACAGAGAAGAATGGGAATTGACTTGCTTCTTTTTCCCCCAAGCTGTGAGATCTGACGCTACAAGTACATACTAGGAGATGGATGGCAGCTATTGACCTTCTGTTGCTTATACTGTGTGTTCATGCTCCCTAACGACGTATTACAGCAATGTAAGGCTGTGAGCATGCTGGCTGTCAGATTGCGGAGGATGAAAATGAGGGCACTCCACTAGCTTGGGTCTTCAGCTCCTACCTCATAGCGGGCATTCAGCTGGGCATAATCCCGCAACTTGTCCTTGTCCAGACGAGTGGGCACTTCCATGATGTCATGGATCTGCAGCTTGATAATTTTGGCCAGGGAAGTAAACATGCTCTCAGGAATGATCTGCAGCACCTGCAGAGGGACCAGAAAGATGCCGTCTAAACAAAGGCAGCTCTATTCTCCAGAATCACTTGCACTACAAATAGGGAAGTTCTGGCCATCTGTATCAAATGATCCACTTGAAAATATCCTTCGTTAGGATCTTTGAAGACACACCAAGATAAGATGTGGAGATTGCAGTTAAGCAACCAACTGAACTAAATGGGCTCGGTTTTCATTTGGATTTTGTGCAGTATTCTTACATTACTGAAATTAGTTAACTAGATTTATCCAATTAATTTCAACATTCCCTTATAAACATTAAAGATGTACTGCTAAACGTAACCATAGGCACAAGTAAAGGTGAAGTACATGTGAAAAGCATGACAGTTTGCTGTTTATACTTCACACCTGAAGTCTTAGCAGTCAGATCACTCTATCTTGTCTTTTTTCTCACTTTCCATGAGGAATTAATCTTTACTGGTTCCTTTACAGCAAACTGATGCACAGAACAATTAGGCTGAAACCAACACTGATTTTGTTTGAATTTGATTTTTAACTAAAGTCATTCAAGACCGTAAACACAGATTTAAACGCAATGATACTGACTTATTTAGTGCTTCTCTCAGTTCATGTGAGAATGTCTTATACGGTACACATGTAGAATTGATGTGCAAATGTGAAGCTGAACTGTGATGAAATAAAGTGGTATGTTACTGAACGGTAATGGATGTAAGAACCGGCGTGAACTCAAAATGATACTCTTTAACGTTAATACTCAGATCTCTTGAGAGATCTAAGGCAATAGAACACTGGCAGATATTAATTTCTATTTTAATATTATTAAAAATAAAAACAATTCCATTACGCACATACATCGATAACACTTTATATCCCAAAGCACTTTATAGAAAGAAGGGGACCGAATTCTTTCACCTGGGCGATGTGCTGTAGGCATTCTGTGCCACCTGCCAGATTACACACCAGCAGGAGATGTGAGGAACTGCTTTAATTAACTAAAAGGGAAGTTGTCTTGATTCAGGATACCAGGATCAAAACCCCTACTGTTTCAAAAGGTGCCATAGGATCTTTAATGACCAAGTAATCAGAACTGGCTCGATGTCACATCTAAAGTTATGGCGCCACCTACAGAAAACTGCCCCCGGTCACCATGCTGGAGCCCTGGTCTGGACATGTTGTCCCGGGTGCAGAGCGCCACCTAGCTGCAGCAGCAGCCTGGATGTCCCTGGAGATCCCCCATCACAGGAGAGACCGGGCCCAGTCTTGCTTAGCCTCCAAATTCGCCGACGCTGCCGCAGTCCTGGAATAAGATTCCCTGTAACTGCGCGAGACTGAAGAGTTCCTCACCTTCCTCACATAGGAGACGAGCTCGCCGGAGTAGAACTGAGACACACTGAGCAGGTCAGGGCTGTTGGCCTGGTTAATCCTCAGCAAGGGCAGGTCCAGAGCCGACGCCAGCTTTTATACAGGCAGAACAGACAACAGCACAGACTTCAGAGATACACAAGAAAATAAGCAACAGACAGACTTTCCCATGTTTTAGATAACACGTGTAAATGCGAAGACTATACACAAATAACACACAATTTGCATTTGAATATCACAACAGGGGTGTTTCTTCCAATGTCTTGATAGCAGACTTGATCTATGAATGAAGACTTTATATCTAATGTATCTCAGTCACGTTTTTAGTCTCTGCATAATCTTTCCATTGTTTGTTTCAGATGTGGGATTCCTACGAGCAGGACAGATGGGGTAGACATTTATCATACCTCCCGAACCTTGTACCTGAGCAGCAGTCCAAGAGGAGACTCTCGTCCTGCTGATACCAAGATGTCTAGACCCGTGCCATGATGATACATTTTGTATATTTTTTTAGGAGAATTGTTTTCCCAAATCTTCGGAATGGAATGGGATTGAATTAAGCAATCCACACTAAGAACTATCACGACTACTAGAGCTTCAGGCAGCAGCATTTGCCCTTTTCATGTACCTTCAGGAACGTGGCCCGGAGTTTGGTCACCATTGACGGATTCACTCGAATGCTCTCTTGCATGATACCCGTGAAGCTGCAAACGAAAATAAAAGTCAACCGCCTAGTAATTTCTCTGTTAACTATCATTTGCTGCATACTACATTCTAAATGGCGTATATTGACTGGATTTCGAAAAATTCTGTGTCCATGTTTAGGTTTTAAAAAGGCTGCTGACAGCTGATCATCAACACGTGAGGCCGAATACTCAGTGCAGCCCCGCTGGGCACATGCGGCACTATTGACATTACCTGTCGATGAGCTGCCAGGCGTAGGACAGGTCTCCCACGATCTGCATGGTGATCAGGAACTCCTCCTTGATGTTAATGGTACGGATCATCTGGTGAAGGAACTTGCGGGTGTCGGCGAGGAACTGACAGACCTGCAGATTGGACTCCAGCTGGTGGAACTCTTGCACCTGTTCATCAGGCAGGTGGGGACAACTCAGGGCCTCCTCTTTCACCGGTGTGATTCAGTTCCTCAGATAAATTCTAGACAGGTCTACATTTCCAATTCAGTCTTCTGAGGGTTTCTAAACCCGCTGATTATTAAATCTCCTTAACAAAATCCATTCATGGCATAGAAAAATGTATACATTTCAAATTAATGTATACTTGTTCACAATGTAATAGGGCTGCATTACATCACCAGACGTTTTGTGGCCTGGTTTGGAATTGCAGAACAATGGCGCAGAGCATACCTGGAAATTTAATTTATTTTGCAATATAAACTGGAGGTTTTCCACTCATCAATGCCGATTTTTTCTAACCCCGAAAATCCGAAAAGCGCGTTGCGGTTCCCCCTGAATGCAAAGGAAACATTGCTGCGCTGCAGGCGGTCAGGGGAACGGCTGTCCCAAAACAGATTCAGGGGCGTCTGACGCATGCAATACAACTGAGTATCTCTTCCAGTTTCCGACCTACCTCCTCCAGGGCCTGGATCAGCTGCACTGTCTTCCTCCCGGCAGCCGTGGAATCTTCGTAGTTCAGAGACAGGATCTGTTTGGATATCTCCCTGAACCACGCCTGCAGGTTCTCTGGTGGCCAGGAAACAAGGATCAGAAGGGGCACATGGATTACATCCCAACCATTCCCTACTCGTAGAAAAAAACTGCATCCCAAAACAAGTGACTATCTATTCTTTTATTCGCAGAGGAATGATCACACCTCTCTAAGAACAAAATAGCCCTCATTATTAACTCATTAAAGGAATCAGTTTCTCATACTGTAAGGGTTGTGTGGACCTGGAATAAGCTACCTGGCCATGTTTTTGAAGCCGATACTCTGGTTTCTTTCCAGAAACATGATTATTATCCCAAACTTGGGAAATTCATCGGATTTGTTTGAAGCTGGACGAAATCCTCGGATCGATTAACTACAAACTACAATAACTGGCCAGATGGGCCGATGTTTGTACCCTTTCTTACGACCTTCTCTTTTTCAACACCTAGATTCACCAATTGCACATTATACCCACCCAACATAGTCAAACATAGCTCTCAGTGCCACAAACCGCATGACACCGCACATGGGAGAATGAGGTCATGTCAGTACAAATCGGACCTGCCCACTTTCGAGCCTCTCGTCTTTTACCACGTTCCCGGGCAGCACAGTCCCATACTGCCTGGAGAAGTACGCCTCTCACTGACAGCACTGCGACAAGTTCAAGTGTCCAGCAGGCCTCAGGGAGAGCCCTGGCCAGCTCACCCCCCCCCCCTACTCTAGGATCGAACCCGTGGCCAGAGCCCAACCTTTACCAGTTACGCCTCTCAGGAGGCCTCAAGAGGCCTGTTGCGAAACTACTGCAGTCTGACCCTCAAAAACATTGCTTCTCAATCGAATCATTACTCATTTTGTGTTCGGAGCAAAATCAACAGGGACCGAGGCTTTTACGTAAGCACATGACAAGTATGGAACAAAATGTGCCCATTTTCGACGGCTTGCAACACTATGCAATCCAGAATGAGCCAGACCCATAATAAGATGTCTTGTTATTTCAAGTTGAATACATCCTGTGCATTCATTAAAAGGATTACCTGACTATGGGGCTATGTTACAGGTGAAGGCTGAGATTTAGGGTTAATGGTGCAAGATTAAGGGTACGTGCTAGGCCTAGAGTACACATGAGGGTTAGGGAGGTGCCTGGGTACCATTCTTCTCCACCCTTGTCAGGGGTTTGACCCCAGAAAAGACATCAGCCAGCTCAGTCATCCTCTCTGAGCCCTCCTGCTTGTAGCTCTCCCACTTCGCCTGCTTCTCAGACAGCATCTGCTTGAACATCTGGGAGAAAAACACAGGGATTAAGGTAACAGGGAAGCTCACTACTATACGACAAGACATAATAATTAATCATCCCTGGGAGCATAAAAAGTGTTTTTTTCACAGTGCTGTTTCACCAGCTGCTTTGACATTGTGGAAATATTTTTTCTTTAATAAAACATATTCAATTAACTTGTTTGCTCTGTTAAGATGCTGCTAAACATTTACTCAAAGATTTCTATAGTCACTATTTATATTAACTTACTAAAAAATAATGGGGGTTCTTCTATTTATTCATAACCCTAAAATTCAAAGATACAGTAGATAACTTTCTTTTTGCATAGTTTAAAGCAAAAATGAATTAATTTGTCCATTATTTTAATAAGAAATTGCACCAGTATTTTCATGTTGAAATTTTAGGTCCTTGCTGGTTTATTAGTTTTGATTTACCTCCTTAAGAAGAAACTCAAACTGAGCCGTGTCCAGCAGTAGTTGGAAGAGGATCTTGGAATTGTATTTGGAGTCATTGATCACTTGATCCTTAATCTGACGCAACCTTTTGTTGTTTAGGTCATAAGCTGGAAAACAAAAATTCATAATAACATTGAGAAAACGAAAGGCACACAAAGAGACACTCTATCCTTGGAGCTTGCTTGCATGATAGTGTGGCAGTCTGAAAAACTGCTGCCTGATAGTCATACTGTGCTTTTATAAGGTCACCATTCAAAGCACACAAAATGTTCTTTAATCTGTGGACCTGGCCTTTGTTTCCTGCCCAATATTTCCAAATCACATGCATCATGCAAAACAAAAGCATCCTTTTTAAAAATGTAAGCTTTTCTCCAGGGACACGCACCAACAGCTTTGCACAACAAGCTGGCTCGCTTGTGACCACAGCGCAGGCTGGCGGACCCGAACTGCAAGAGGTAACCTGCAGCTAGATCACCCTGCAACTCACAGCTGGCAGCCCACTGAAGCTCAGCAGGCGTGAGCCTGGCCAGTACCTGGATGAGAGACCTCCTGGGAAAGCTAAGGTTGCTTCTGGATGAGGTGTTAGTGGGGCCAGTAGTTTGCGTGGGTCCTAAGTATAATAGACACTCTACTGTGAAAAGGCACCATCCTTCAGATGAGACGTAAAAATGAGGTCCTGACTCTCTGTGGTCAATAAAAATCCCAGGGTGTTTCTCAGAAGAAGTAGGGGCGTTACCCCGGTGTCCCGGACAATTGTCCCCCATTGGCCTTTACCTATAATACATCTCTGAACTGGCTTCATCACTCTGTTCTCCTCCCCACTGAGAGCTGGTGTGTGGGGAGCGTAATGGTGCACTATGGCTGCCGTCGCATCATCCAGGTGGGGCTGCACACTGGTGGTGGTGGAGGGGAGTCCCCATTACCCGTAAAGTGCTTTGGGTGGAGAGTCCAGAAAAGCGCTATATGAGTGTAAGGAATTATTATGAATTATTATCATGACCTGAATCGGCCGTGTGAAGCATCAGCCACCGGATGGCCACGTTGCAGTCCCGGAGGCAGTTGAGCAGCTTGGGAATGTTGTCCAGCACGATCTCCTCCCTCAGGAAGCCCTCCTTCAGAAACTGCTGCACCTGGGGCCTCAGCGTCTCCACACTGGCAGCGTAGCGACTGGCCTGCAGGGATTGTCACGGCAACGGGCCGAGCTGATTAGCGCCCCTTTCCCATGACGCTTCACTGGGCATCTTCAAGCCCGGAACTACTGCCACACAGCTTTTAGAGACCCAGGAAATACCACTGTAACCCACCTCCAGGATGAATGAAGCACTGAGTCCAACTTTAGGATTGAAAACAGAATACAGTCAGGGATGGATTTTTGTGTTCGTAGGCCCTAGGCACTTTCACTCCGAAATGTGTAAAAAGAGGGGTCAACGGCAATTGAATGACGTCGAGGGACACGATGCGCTTTAAACTGTTCTAACGCTAAACCACGCGATTGATGGAGCAAGTCGAGCGACCATCACTTCCATACTTCTAGTTTCTAGAACGGCCGCTAGATAGCATGTGATTGTTTCAGCTTATTTTCCTTTAGTCATCAGTGTTTCCCTCCTTCGTAGGCCCTTAAAGTTTCATAGGCCCTGAATACAGTCAAAATGTCTCATGTAAAGAACACAGTGAATGATGAAATTATCATTGGATATTCTTAGCCCACCCTCTAAACAGATTTCAGCACCTGTACCTGTTCTTTAATATTAGCTTGATCAAGAGTGTAATTCAAGGCAGTCTTGGCAGCTTTGTAGGGTTCCCAGGCCTCTATAAGATTCACTGTGATCCCCATGTAGATGCTGATAACCTGAAAGGGAACGAGATGGTCATTGCATGAAGCTCGGTCTATGCTCTTGACTCATGTCAGCCATACATTATGTCGCTAGTTTGCAACCTCCCATTATTTGTTCTCTTAAGAGATGAAAAACTGCATGCTAACACTTCCCAAGGAGTGCCCAGCCAAGCCTTCTGCCTCTTCGGACTTTGTGTGACCCGAGAGGGAACAGCAGGTTGATACTGGCCACGACCTCCCATTCCGTGAGGGAGAGGACTCTGGGGTCCCTCACAGATATCACCAGCTTCAGTGGCTGCCAATCAGAAACAAGGCTCGCTTGCTAAGTGCAAAGCCAACAACATCCTTTTTGGTTCCGACGTTCCGATCCCGCAACTTGGGCCATGCCAAGGATAAGCCACTTGAGTCCAACTTCGCAATCCCAGAAGCTAGGAATGCACGTGACAAGTCTCAAACTCGGATTTCCTGACCACATATGGTGGCATAGTCCAGATCCAGTTCAGCAAATTCCACACTACAGGACCCACTGGGTTCATGTGCTAGCTTTTTACATAAGAAAACATACTATTAGTTACCCCCCCCCCACTTCACAGAATACAAAATGTTTTTAGCGATAGCAGTAAATGTCTCGCTAATCTTAAAAGTAAAAAATACCTGTACAAATGTCTGAGGAGGTTCCAGAGCAGGGTTCTCCATTTGTTTGGTTTTTTAATCTGGCACAAGAATATGACACAAATGTGCTTTGCACATTAACTACACAGTAAGAATGGCTCGTTGCTGACTGATGACATTGCTTGTGGTCTGAGCTTGCAATGCATCTCCCGATTCCAGACCTGTGGGTTTGTGCACTCATTCTGGGACTGTTCTGCTTTGCTGCAGTCGCTACATTTTACCATGATGCACTCTTGCTGACGCTTATAAAGAGTTTCCTCATCCTGTACCTAGTTTGTCTAAGCAACCAAACCCACTTTCCACTGCACTCTGCACATTTCCCAAACAACAAAGCCGAGATAATACTACGTTCCTGCATACTCACCCAATTGTCTGGGAAGTATTTATCCACGATCTCCCTCATCTTGGCTTGCTGTGTGTGGAGGATGGAGGGGTTGAAATACAGGATGACATACAGCAGGGCAGCCTGGTTGGCCAGGGCTGTGCTTCGGTGCTCAGGCAGGGGATAAGCAGAGACCTGAAGAGCACGAACACACACTTACAAACAACCTCTTACACAGCACTTAGGTCTCCCGATGCTACAGACCCGCAGGGTATACTTTAACTAGCAAGCACACAGTGCCCAGTGGACCTTAGGACTTAAACATTTCTGCCAGCAAGCGAGAAAGCTATAACACATAAATTACTCCAAAGAGATAACCCAACCAAAGAAAACTGGATTGTTATCGTTTCAGCGATTTATGAGATGGAAACATTACCCTATCAATTAAAACTCCAGAAAAAGGCCTTTGAGAGATAATGGGAGAGGTGGATTTTTTTTTGCTACCTAATAATAGTATTGATTTTATGTTTTTGAAGTTTATGTTCTGTTATATTGCTTCCACCCACCTTTCTCCCTAACACCTCACCTACTGTAACTCCCTAATACGCTCTGTCGAACAGAGAAAAAAGGTTAATGAGCACACTGACTCATTTATATTTGTAATACTTGATGTTTTGTAATGACTGGCAACTTTATTTCTAAACATTTTTTATGTTGATAAAAAAATGACCCCAATAGAATACAAGTAATAAAAAAAACACTCTAACCACCTCTCATCTCAACTATAATCCTGCAGACAACAGTCAAACTCCCCAGCGCCACTGTCGGCAAGTGACGTGACCTCACGAGGGGGCGCACCAGACGCATTTCAGATATGGAGATACCCGGCCTTCTCAGCTTTGGCAGAGGCAAGAAGGGGAATGCTCTGCTCATACATAGCGAACACCCGATGCATCTTGGCTTCACTGGTGACATACTGGAGCAGAACAGAGGGGGTGTCTTGCCTGGTTGTAAATGTCGTCCGAGCGCAGGCGGCCTATCACCATGCTGACGAAGGTGGCGCTGATGGGCACTCTCTGGAAGTAGCTCTCTGGGTAATTCGGGGGCCGTTTGGACCCGGGCTGGCACGAGTACCCTGTGCTACGCAGCAGCTTGCAGATGTCATCCAGATTGGAGTCTGCCGACGAGCGGGCAGCACTGGGAAGTGGAAGAAGTCCACAGTTGTATGAAAACGAAACTCCGTGAACATGAGAAAGAAAACTTTAATGTTATTCAAATGCTCTTCCTGTATTTCTTCAGCCAAACACCCCCAGAATTTCTCTATCACACCCTCAGTGTTTCTACTGCTGTAAAAGATGTAAAAATAATGAAGGTGTTAAAAAACACCACAGCACTTCTGAAGAAAAAAAATATTTTAAAAATAAATTCTAAAATCTGATAAAAAAAACATGTTGGATATTTGGCTTCACACTGGTATCTAAGCTATTTTTTTTCAAGATAATGATCACACAAAAATGTCCCTTTAATATCCACAAGTCCCATAAATACCCTTACCTGTATCTGTAATAAGACACCAGCATCCTCTCTCTGACCTCACCTTCAATCTTCTGGTCAATGACCAACAGCATGACTCCATACAAATAGAGAGCTTCACACTATATATATATAAAACACAGTCAATAAAGTCAATTGTTAAAAGCAGATGATAAAAGTGAATAAAACAGTGCTGTATTTCTACAATGTTAAAGATTATGTTCAGTTCTCCAGAAACCCAGCTCTCAGAAAGAGCTTAAACGTGCAACTAATTTTGTTGAATAAATGCACGACACAAACATACCACGAGCTGTTTCCCATCTTCATTCAATAGAATGGTTTCCAATGTCTGCTGAATGTAAACACCTTCATTAAGATCATCCAGATACCTACAAAGACACAACGCGATTCATCCGTGTGAGAAACATGCAGGTCTACAGTTCTGCAAAGTACAACGTTCACATCCTGCTTCTAGTAATGCTTTTAGAAGGCATCACATTGATTTTCCACATTATAACACAATGTACTTCTTGGTACTGTGACCCTTTGAAGAAAGACCTGTCAAAGATAAGTTGATGCACTCTGAACCATTGGTATATCCATGCAGCAAAATTGTGCACAAATACCAATCAGTGACATGTCACACCTATAGTTCTCCTGCTATATTAAAGACAGGGACTGAACACCAAGGTCACAATTAAATGCTAAATATGTAAGAGACAACCAGAAAAATAATGAAGTTCAGGAAGATCTAATTACCTGTTTAAATCCACAATGTATTTGTGGACACTTTCAAATGCAAGGTAAAAGCGTGAGAGTATTTCAATGTTATTTTCACGGAATTCTTCGTCTAAATCCTGGAGCTCTGGCTTGGCCTCCAGTTTGCCTTCGTAGTGTTCTGGACCCTTGGAGAAAAAAAGACATAACAGATTCCTTATAAAGCATATTTATACATCATGATAGCTATTGCATCCCTCTCTCTCACTGCCATAAAAGCACATTCATTACACTTCAGATTGTTTGGAGAACAGGAGACTCCTCTTTACTCAGAGGGTTAGGGGGTAGGGAACAAGCTACCTAGCCATGTTGTTGAAGGCAAAATGCTGGCTTCTTTCAAGAAACAGAAGAATGAGATCCTTGGATCAAATAGCTTTTAATTACCAAATGGGTTAGATGGGCCAAACCGCCTTCGCTCATTTCTATCTGTTCTTAAACCAAGCAATAGGCCGAAGTTGAACATTTTCAAGTAAAAACAAGGTGGCAGATGAACATTTAAAGAAATGATTGAGTGGAGTGGTGGCTCTGTGGCTAAGGATCTGCGCCTGTGGCTGGAAGGTTGCCAGTTCAAATCCCACGGCTGGCAGAGGAATCCTACTCCGTTGGGATTCTGAGCAAGGCGCTTAACCCCAGCTGCTCCAGGTGCTGTATAAATGGCTGACCCTGCGCTCTGACCCCAAGCTTTTCGCTCCCCATCTGTGTGTCTCATGGAGAGCTTGTTGGGGTATGTGAGAAAAAAAGTTCCTAATGCAAGAAATTGTATAGGGCCAATAAAGTGATCTTATCTTAACATAAAGGTCAAATGGAACCTGTCAAAGAGACACAGTTGAACGCACTTTACCTTAAAGTAACTGAAATCACAGATAATATCCCCATATTTCTGTTGGTCAGTTTTATCTTTCAGCCTGAAGACACTGGGAATGAAGTCCGAGAGTCGGAGGAGTTCTGCAATGACCGCATTCCCTCGGGAAACAATCCTCAAGATGGCTTGGCCACACAAATTATTCTCCGCTAGAAAGTCTACCATGGCTGACACTCAGATCAAAGCTGCAGAGCCAGAAAGATATCCTAAAGCATTCCTCAGCCTGGCACCGTCAAAGAGTCATACAGTCCGGAGGAAGCTCATCTGGTAGAGGCACGGGACCTAAAACAAAACCAAGCGAACAAAATGTAACCAAAGATCAAAGTTTAATATTGAGGAGCATATAAGCCAGCTATGTCACTTTATGAAAGTCAGGGTAGTTTTTCACATAATTGGGCTGAGCATAAATGTATTAACACTTTGAAAAGATTACTGTAATCTGTACAGACAGCAACAAAGCAATGAGAATCGTTCAGCAAACCTTATAAATGGCAGAATTATCATTTAGAGTAGCTAGAACTACACTTTTTGAGGAATCAGATCAACCACAAATCTTTGCTCTAATATTTTCCTTAATTAATTTAATCTTTTTAAATCGCTGTTGTTATTTTTTTCCACAAAATATATTGATTTGATTTGACTGATATTGAATATATGGGTTGATTTTGACAAACAGGGTACTCATCTATATTACTTGGCACATTGCTGCAAGCAGTGTTATGGGCCCATTCTTACATAGTCTTACAAACCACAGTACAGTCTCTACAGCGCTACGACCAAGATGACATCCTTTAGAAATATGTCTCATGGACTCCACAGGTACAGTAAGATTAAAAAAATGCTCCATACTCACTTACAATTATGGAGTAAGTCTTTTGCACTAAAACGTTAGGTGCTGATATTCCATTGAGATATTTTTATATCTTGAAACAGATAAGCATGAATATTAATAACATGTCCATAGCCTGGTAGGAAGGAACTGACTACTACTGATCAATTTCATGGTTTTTAACAAAAGCCGGATTGTTCTTTCGTAGACGTAACTCAGTTAACTATAGTTAAGAACTCTGTTACACATTTATTAAATAAAGGCTCCTAAAAGGTTAACAATCTTAAATGATCACGTATATCTTTACATATCTTTAAATTAACGTAACTGTCTATGTTTGAGTTGCGGCTTCAGATTTGCATCTATCGATTTATTTTCCACGAAGATGGTTGTTCCTACTGTACATTATTTCTCCTTACTTCCTAATTTCCCTGTCAGCCTTGAGTTTTGCAATGAGAGGCAGCTCGAAACAGACGGTCCCTTTCTTAACATCGATAGAGCAACAAGTTTAAATTATCTACCTTATCCTTGCTTGTTTCTTGCAAAAAAAATAAAACCTATATGAAATATTGGAATATGAAACCCACCACAGTCCCCTTCCAGTCTCCTGTTGTACAGAACGATCACATGACACTTGGACTGGAATCATATGACCCGGTAGTAGTGTGTGCAGATTTATTTATCGGTGCTGCTGCACCATCAAGTGAGAGCACACGGTGTTCATTGGTGCGCTTTATAAAACAGCAGTACGATTAATCACCATAGGTGCAAAAAAGGTTTACGGCTTACGCCGTCCTTTGAATTCCTCTTTTCTACTCTCTCTGAAGAGATCTTTTCGCTTCGGAGATGTTTTATTACACCGAATTCCTGAAGGCAGATTCTTCCGGCCTTGTGTCGGGCTGGGAGTTGTGGGATACGTGAAGTTCCGGAGCTCTCTCGCCCAGTTAGTGTAGCTCATCATTTCCTCAGATTAGTCACTGCAGCGTGTACAATAACTTCATTAAGAGCCAGATTTATGTTGTTACGTGAAACAATCCCCCTTCACGATCAACGATCGCTTGCTAACCCGCTGCCTCGAAGTTGTGAAGTTGGCACACTGGTCTGAAAAGAGGCTGCCCGAGTTCTGTGGATGCGAGAAAAAAAAAACTAAACTAACACTTCACTGCAGGTGTCACTAAAGGGCTTTTGAATTTTCAACAGCAATCTCACTATCTCTTCGGTTGTGTTTTCCCAGCAGACACTCATGAACGACTAGAAATTTTTCATGTTACAATTACGTAAATTGTGTACTTAAATACTTTTTATCTTTTAAAATTGAATTAAAAGTGTGCACTATTTATTACTAAATTGTACCACAATAGTTTCTTTCATAAACGATACACACATATATATCCCTTATATGTAATATGTAATATGTTTTAAGTTTAAATCAGCAGGATAAAGCATAAGAATTTTACTAAATGATTAATTGAGGGGTTTCAAAGCAACGGAAATAGACATGAGAGACTTTTTAATTTTTGTTTTTTTTAGAAAATCAGGGAACTACATCAAAGCACGATATAAACCTAACCGTGGTTTATGCAGAAATTAAGCATGCTTATAATGTAAATAAATAACGTAGAAATCTCAGATTAAAGACAAATTTAAATAAATTAAATGAAAAATAAATGACTCTTTGAACGACTACCTCATGCCCTTGCGTATCAATTAAAAAGAGCAATAAAAATATGCAGACACACCTCACATAACCCAAGAGAAAAGCAAATAAAGAGCTAGGACCAGCAGCTTCTGGCTTGACTGGAGTGAGTCATTTACGAGCCTGCACTCGTACAACAAACGCCACTAAAAAATAAGTCTTCATTCTCTAGAATAACTATAACATGAAGAGCTTGGTTTAAAACACAAATCAGATAAATTTGCCCATCTCGTTCTACAGACATGGATTAAGTCTGTTAGCCTGTTCTCTGACGTTTGCATTTCGCTGCTCTTGTCCTTAGACATCCCTGCCTTGAGAGCTGTTTCATACAAACACAAAAAGATGGTCAGTTTTCTTGGGCAGGCATACTAAATGGCTTTAATCAAGTCCGTAATAATTGTACTGTTGCTCTCGCAGTTGGAAGCGTACAGTAAGTACCTGGTCATCGTGGATTGTGGTGGTGGTGCGCGCTGGGGGATTTGGGGCGGTTAGCACAATGAAAGTGTCTTTGCAGGGGGCTTTTACTGCGAATGAAGAAGCAAACAAACACAACACTAATTGAAGATTTGTATCAAAGTGACATCTGTATTTTGGTTTTCCTTGCTGAGTTATTAGCAGTCATAGCCTTATGTTGGGTACTAATAATGTCCTTATGTGTCATCTTTTCCTGACAGTGTTGTTCATCAACACTAAACCCACTGCAGATATCTTATGCTAGTCTAGAGTGTTTGCTGGAAACAATAGTCTCAATTTGATCCTTGTGTAAAAGAACACTGTTTCTGACACAAGCCCTTTGGCTAAATGCATTCAACCTTTAACATGACCCTCCACCACAACACCTGGCTTGGGGGGTAGTTAGAAAATTAAAACAGACTTTCATGGATCAAAGCTTTTGTTACAAACTGCAGAGCTGGGTGGTGTTTGAAGTTTTTAGACCATTTCTTATTTGTTGAATACTGCACATCCTTGTTGTCTTTGTTGGCCAGATCACATGTTATTTGTCAAATTGTAAAAACTGGAGCAGAAATTATTTATTTTAAGACCTCTAAGTCTGTCAGAGGTAAAAACTGTTTCTCTATGTTGTGCAATACTTCAGTAATTCCTTACTTTTTTCAGGAGCCATTGGAGTAGCTGTTTGTACTGGAACAGTTTATTACCATATCAAAGTATATCAGAACACAAATATTAGAATCTGATATCGATTAAAAAATAACACTTATTTTGTTGTTTGAAAAATCAAAATAAAGGCAAAACTCCACAGAGGTAAAACTAGACAAGAGCTCTAAATGGAACACTTTATGTTATCTATGTTTAGAGGTTCTAAAAATTGGAACGAATAGGGGATGTTTTTGAATTTTAAAACAAAGTTTAAAACAGAAATCAATTAAACCTAAAGACGTTTACGAAAAACTGAATTTGGAATTTGAGTCCAGGCCATTCAAGATGTACAGTAGATGGCTCAGCTTCTGCGTTCACAGACACGGCAAGGGTTATGAATTGATGCTGTTGTTTTACAGCAGCGGGAGAGAGAGAGAGTCCAGCCGGGTGATGAGCTCTCGCTGCCCTCCAGGTTTGCAAACCAAATTCAGGGCTGTCAGCACACCGTCCTTGCAGTGCAATGTGGGACCAGCTCTGTGCTGTCTGCTCCTCTCTCCAGCTCTGGGAGAGGCAGGGCGGCTCCACATTGAAGAGGGCGGCTCACAAACAGCGGGCTGGGCTTTTCTCTTCCACAGAAATCAAATGGAAAGTGGATTAACTGTGCCGTTCCCATGCCCATTATAATACCAATCTTACTCATCAACAGTTCCAGCTGAGCCCTTAATCTCCCGTGCTAATTGGTGCCTCTGACTGATCTGCTAGCTGGTTTACCTTTTTTTTGCTGCACTCAGTCCTTGATTTCAAAACCACCCCAGTGAAAGGTTCATTATTTCCAACACCTTTAGGACGGGGAACTTTATGCAATCACTCCTCGAGTTGCTAATTAAGAATTCCCTCACCCATTTCCAACTAAAACTGCTCTTAAACATTGGAAATTGTACTTATGAAACAATAGTAAAAAAAAAAGGCAACCTCCTGTATTTAGTAACTGAAACCAGAGTTTAAATTAAATCTATACTTTGGTCTATTAAGGGCAAAAATGAATGATTTGAGAGCTCAGACTGAACAAAAACCAGTAGAAGAACCTGGAACCCCAGTTTGAGGGCCTCACCTGTAGTGAGCTTGCTATTAGTTTGCCAAAGGAACTGGGACAAGTTCAGACTATTTCTTACCATTTTCTCTCTTGAAAAATAGCATTAAAATGAATGCTCTAAAGCTTCTGACATGTATTATGTGGAAATTGTAAGTGCTCAAGGAGCAGTAGTTTAGCCTTCCAAGTGCTCTTCAATCAGCTGAATGTTATCTTGGCATTACCACTGGCAGAGATTAAACATGGGTGTTATCAGAGCACTAATGCATTTCAGGAGAGCAAACATCCACTTGAGGTAGGTGATCCTGCGATTCAACAGTCACAACCAACAGTTTGGTTTAACACACACCTATTTACTATAGTTCCATTAATGAGCAAAAATAGACTTGTAGGCACACATGGAATGTTTTCTGCAACACATTGTATTTTAACCTCAAACGAGAAAATGATAAAACGGACCGTCTTTTTGGTAAAACTTATGCAAATGTATACTGCCTTGTACCCTGATCTCACCTGACAGAAGGCAAATCGAAGGCCCAGTTCTCCTGTCTGTGCTGGGATGGGAGTCCTCTACAGTAAACTCCTTCAGCAAGTTGTATTTGTGGACCAATAGCTGGTACTCTTCATTCTGGACCTCAATTTCCAACTCAGCACTCCCGTCTGATGACCAAGGTCTCGCTGCTGTCCCTGGAGCTGCCAGCTGTCCAATCAGATGCTAAGGTCCGGACTACATGGGCCAATAAAGGTGCCATGACTAAAGAGAGGTGGTTTTAACCCTGGTGTCCTGACTCGATACCACTCTGGGTTTATGCAATCTGGCCTCCCTCCTGACCCCCCCCCTCTCCCTGCTCTACTGTGGAGTGGGGATACTGACCTGCTGCGCCTCACCCAGGTGAGGGATGCCCTTCAGTGGTGGATGAAGTACAGTAGGTCACTTCTATTGTAATGTGAGTATGTAATGTAATGAAGTAATGTGCTTCCAGGGAAATGAGAAACTCAAATACAGTACATCAACATTCTATTCTTAACCCCATAAGGTGCTTTCTTTGCTATGGGCTACCAGGGCAAGTAGCCACTTGCTTGATTATTAAATTCAAAATATAAAGATGGATGTTGGTCTCCCCACGTTCAGAGATCTGAACAGCTGGTATTCAACTGGTTCTTCCAAGACACAGGCCCACCCCCCTCAGGAAAAGGGGTGATCTGTACTTCATGACCTGAATTTAAGAGCGTTTTTATATTAACATTTGCCTCTTTTAAATATATCAATAGCAGAATAAGAAAATGCAGTATACACAACTCTTTTCCACCAAAAAAAACAAGCACAAAGGAGAGGGACATTTCAAGTTCACAAAACAAGATTTTGGTTTTGATGAAGTTCATAATTAATTCCTGTATAATGCAAAGTCTTATTATAATTATAGAGGGAAACGAAATGATCAATTCAGCTGCAAAAAAAATCTGTAAGACTATTGCATGAATGCACAGACTGAGCACTTACAATAGTTTATTCAAGCAATAAATCCAATACACATCTCAAAAATACATTTGTACAAATTTCAGTTAAAGGTTTACTTTATATTGGCTGCTTTTTTTGCTTCTAATCTCTGCAGACTTCTCCCAGTAGGGAGGCTCAAGTTGCATGTGATAAACTTCTATGCATTATTAGTGCTTAAAGATATACATTTCTAGGAGTAACAGTTCTTGCTACTTCAACATGAATGAGCCGCTATCAAATACACTGACTGCAGCATCACTATACATTCCATTAACTGGTGACTTGTGATACATTAAAAAAACATTAACATATATAATAAAAAGCTAGTCATGCACATAGATATGGCTATTTCAATGTACAAAAGAAACTATCTAAAGATACATCTCTTTCCAGCCCTGAATATCTGGATGGCAACAGCCTTTTAACATGCATACAGTATCGCATAGAACAGATGAAGACTGTAATACATGCAACACACTGTGTTGTTTAGAGAGTCAAAAGCTACTCGAGCATTAAGTCCAGATGTCTGGCCCAGAGACCACAGGGTACGATTTCTGAACAATATTGCACCCTATTCCACAGCCTCCATGTCCATTCAAAAGGAATGTGAGGAATAAAAGGATCACTAAAAAATAAATTTGGTCTTTTCACCTCAATTTAAAGATTTAGCACCTCTCTCGTTCGTGTTGCAAAAAGTAGAATCAGTAACATGCTATAAAAATTCAGTGTATTATAAGAGTTTGTAGCCAGTGGAGTTTTTTTCTGGAGGGGGAAGGGAAGCAGGGACTCCGAAGGCTGGACAGTCAATGTAAACATTTTAAAACATTCTAAAACAACAAACCTACGTTTTAACTTCATGCAATACAATTTTTTTCCTTATAAAATTGTTCACGAAAACAGATCAGATGTGCGTATAGCACTCGAATACTATAAAATCTTTAGAAAAAGATATGCAGTTAAATTTATACGACAGCCTGCTGAACTATTCAGGAGACACCAGTCTATGTGGCATCATTTTCTTTAAAAAAAAATGTGTGTACTAGTGTGGCACCAATTCCAGTGTGTACCATTTTCAGCAATCAGATTGTCCAATGTATTTGGCTGGCACACAATTGGCTAAAGCACATTTCTGAATAAGGAAAAAGTTAACATTGTAGCGAGTGAGGTCCATGATGATACAAGTATATATACGAAGGGAATTTTTTTTTCCTGAGAGCTAGTTTTTCTGGTCACAACATAATTTTAAGACGTGAAATCACTTCAGAACGGCTTGTTGTGAAGTATAGACTTAACATTAGAAACCGATCAGTGCGTCCGGAGTAGTCAGTTTGTCAGCTTTTGAGTTCTGTAAGCAGTGGCATGCACGATCTCCTCCCTTGGGTGCTCACAGCGTGCGAAAATCTGTCATAACCACATTCCCTGACCATCCTCTCCTGAGCACTTGTGTAAGGTGTGTATAAAACAAAAAAAAAAAGAGGAACCAAAAGATTTATAATAACAAAAACAAACACATTCCTTGCATTTGCGAAAACAACTAATAGCAGGCCACTTTCTTCTAATGCTTTTTTTAAAATAACACACTGTGCAATTCATAACAAAGCTACTATGAAGCTCATATGGCATAAATCTGTAGAAATTTGAACATATATACAAACATCACAAAGCTGCGAGAATGGGGGATGCCCCAACTTACAGGTAAAATTTTATGGGTTATTGTGGATGTCCAAGGACAGTCTTCCCTTTTATTCCAGTTGCCTGTCAATTGTGGGAATGGAACTGAATGCCAGCTTATTTAGACAGCTGGATTTTCAAATGCTGTCCCATCTTCTCTCTACAGCAGCTGAAGATCCACAAAGTGGCTCCCAAGGTGACAGTGGTTCCTGTCTTGCACAGCTTGCTTGGCTGACTGTAGAGATGGGAATGTCACAAGGGCATCAGTGCTGGGCTGTCCATACAAATTATTCGCGATCATCACAGACTCGGGACGAATCTGCATGGAGAGAGAGAGAGAGGTGAGAGAGGGGAGAGATGCAGCGATCAGGAAGCGGTAGGTTCGAAAGGGTACTTGGGTGAGACTGTATCCCAACACCACAGAAGGAGATTTACAAGTTCTCTACCCATCACCCTGACAGATGACCGCTAAGAGCGCAGCCAGTGACATCACCATCCAGCAACCAGAGTCACTTCTGTTCAAGGGAGCTGTGCCTCTGAAAAATCAGACGCGTCCATTTCTTCGAAGGACAATTGCAGGTGATGTTAAATCAAACCCCACTTTAATCAGTTTAATGGCTGTTCGTTAAAAGGAACGGATTTTCTTCTCGGCTGTGTGTGTGTGGTCTGTCGAGAAGGACGAACTCCGACTTGCTTCACGCCATTTAATTTTAAGTTGGCAAAATTAAGAAGCAGAGTACTGATGGAAAGTTCTTCTTGCGCTGGTCTCATATCATGGGTTTTTGATAATAGAAGTGAAGTGATGTTCTTCCTCCCTCTCCCCAACATTAACTACAGCAAACTTGAACAGGAAGTGGTAAGCAAATTGTAGCTGCACATCAACACCATTAGAAAATTCGGAGACTTGCTCTTCTGAGGCACCAGTGGTTTCACCTCAACCACAGTTAACCCACACCACTGGAGTCTGGAGGCGGATGGTGAAACAGATACCCTTCACCCCAGGGACATGACCACAGCAAAACCTTACCTTCCATTTCTTCCAAAGATGTGTATCAGACAGGGTCCCTTAAATACAGACCCACTCTTTCGGATGTGTGAGTAGTGTCCTGGCTTGGTCATGTGAATGTACAAGTCCATCTTCTGAAGCATACTATGGTGTAAGTTTGAACACAAGCATCAGCTTCTGGGCACATGACAGAACTGCACAAATTGCAAGTATCCACAACATCCGATTTACCAAATACAGAGGTCTCATTTCCCAAGCTAGATTGAGAAACAAGATGCTGGAAGAGAGTTTGCCAGGCTAGAATAGACTACCCCTAGGGAATAAGTGCTTCAGGGCAATCTGCTCAATAATTAAAACTACCTTTCTTTTCCCCAGCATTTAAGTTGTGAATCTAAGTATTGAAAATGTTTATTTACGCAAATATTTTTATCTATTTCATTTATCTGATAAATAGATTTGCAAAAAAGTACCATCATAATGTTTCATGGTCTTATAAGCATGTGTTAGTTTAATGCATTCCACATAATTTCATTTGAATTTCAAAATATCAGCTTGTAAGAGGTGCTTTTTTAACTAAAACTGAATTTCAGAAGAGTCACAGCAGTACAAGGTTTCATGCAAAATACAAGCAAGCTCATGTCTATGCAGGAAAGTTTGCAAAATCTGAGCTCCACCCAAGCTAATAGCTGGCAAAGTGGAAAGAAACAAAAATGTAATCAAGGAGATGTTTTTTGGGGTAAACAAAGAAGGGCTGAGTTGATGAAACATCCATTAGCATTAAAATCACTCTTTATATTTCATAATTTGGAAAAGTACAAAGGTAAATGGAAAAGAACAAGGGAACAATTTCCAATGTTCTGTCATGGCCTTGTGCATTTTAATGTACATTTGTTCATCACACACCTAATGGTACATGTTTTCTTTATTTAGCATCTTAAAAAGAACAATTTTTTCATTAACAAAAATGAAAATGAGCACATGTGCCTCAAGAAAAAAATTGACTTTTTCCCCCCCATTTTGAGATCATGATATACCTTTTGGTATATTTGCACAAGAGCACAGCTTGCATGTCAGTTCACTTGGAAAGGAATTATAAGCTATTTTATGGTTACAGTAAATGCATAATTTGCTTTGGCTCCCACCTCCCTCCCCACCTTGAAAATAATGTGAACAGCGCAGGATGCACTAACCAAATAATTGATTAGAATTCAGCACCAGGTAAAGATTTAATGTAAAGTACTATGACAGTGACTATAGTCACTGGTGAACAGCAAAAAATGCACTCTTTCCTGCGTCCTTTCTAGTCGTACATGGAAAACAAACCCAGTCACCTATTATAGCCCCAGTCTACAACTAACTCTTGGGAACGCCACAGTACACAGACCAGGAAACCCCTACCCTGTTTCTGGAGATCTAGCAGGTTTAATACATAACCATTACATTGTTAGTCTTTAAAAGACAAAGGAACATGTACTTTGTGATCTCTGTACAATGCCTGACTCTGCGCTCTGACCCCAGGCTTCTCTCCCTGTCTGTGTGTCTGTGTCTCCATGGAGAAAAGCTGGGGTCTGCGAAAAATTCCTAATCCAAGAAATTGTATAGGGCCGATAAAGTGATCTTACAAGCTAGTAAAGTCAGCAGAGGATGAATTATTTTGTGCCCACCACAGAGCCAGTTCCTTGTGCCACCGAGCCAGCCCAACGGCCCTCACTGGCACGCCCGAGTCGAGCCCCCGCTGCGTGGCTCAGTTCGCACGGGTGATTATATCAAGTAGCACCTAGCTGGTGGTGGCTCAGGGCCGAGTCGGACTGGGGTTAATGAGTTAATCTGTCAAGAGGAGTGCGACAAGAACTTTGAGCTGAAAATACTGTATAATCATCAGCTGAAAAATGTACAGAGCAGACAGGGCCTTCACAGAAACAGAAATAACGTTGAAGCATTTTTATTTTTTTTTACAGTGCTATACACAATCTTTAAAGTCACCCAAGAAAATGCAATGCATCCACAGTAAGTAGGTAAGAATTTATTGTGCACTTGCTCATGATCTGTTGCCCACACAATTGTGATAATGAGAACCAAAACTTGGCTGTTGTTTCAGTCCATAAGTCATGTTGCAATTCAGCATTTTTCCTTTCATTTAACTTTAATGAATTCAGGGCTATGGACAAACCACCACTTGTGACAAGAATGGGACTTCAGTTTTAAGACTGTGCAAGAAGTCAAAAGTCTATACTGCTTGTCAGTGTTAATGTGCAATTATGCACATACTGTATTTTTTTGCCATGTGTTTGAGTGACCAATCTCAGAAAAACTTTGATAATTAAAGAACCTTAGTATATATAAGTTTTGAACACTGCGTTTCTTGCAAGTAAGAGACTTCCTGAAACACAATGTAGAAAACATATGATGTCCTAAAACACAAAAAAAGTAACAAAATATAGGGAAGGTCTATAGATTTGTTCAAATCCAAAAATGAAGTATTATGGTTAGCTTTACTGCAAATCAGCCACTTAATGTAAATAACACTTCAGGCAGACAGAGCTCAATGTGACTTAATATACTAGAATTCAGAGCAATCAACGGGAAGAAAAAACAACTGTATAAATCTACCACTTCCGAGATAATAATTAACAACAAATACCGTATTATAATGCATCAAACCATATTGGAGGCTTGCCAGAACTGAAACATTGTCCAATCTGGTTTACCACACATTACTGAAAACCCCAATTAAATTAGGAGACCGTGTTAGTTAAGGTCATTTTAAAGCCACACTAAGCATTGTCTACATTTCTCTTTTCAGATGCAGTGGTCTGCTGGCTTTTTGTTTGCATTCAGCAATGCCTGCATAAGACATAAAACAGGATCTGGGTGTCCTCTTTCACTCCAAACCAATCCACAGCATGTTTCCGTCTGCCTGCGTCAGCTGACCACACCCACGGGACAGCTGCTTTCGGGTGTGCCACTCAAAACAAAAAGACCACTAATGGAGGACAATGTCCAATAACTCAATGCCCAGGGTCCCATACATTTTCCCTCCAGCCTTGTTGGACTTTTTCAGGAGGGAATATGACACTACGGCATCGACATCTGCATGGCAGGCTGGGACTAAGCTGACTGGAGTATCCCATACAGCCACAGTCAGGCACAACACTGAAAATCCCATCTTTCGGCTCAGACTTTTACTTCCATTTCAGTGGACTGCTTAGGCCATGCGTTTCCAACTGGTTTTTCATTCCAACAGCATTGCGTGAAAAACAAAATCGAGACAAACCTGATAACCCTGGAAGAAGTTGAGGATCTCCTTGACACCGGTGTTGTAGGCGAGGCCCTGCATCCTCACCATGGCCCCAGGCTGAGCTGCCACTGCAGGCCCCGCGGCTGGGGGGGGGAAGAAGTTGAGGCTTGTGGGAGACCCAGGGGGGCTGAAACCAAGGGGGCAAGAGAAAGCAACATCACTCGGTAACCTGGGCAACCCGATTTAAAGCCTGTGCTGTCAACTGTCACATTTACAATAGACGGCCTCGTGCAAAGACACACACACAAGCAATTTATTTTTCCCCTCATTTCACCTCCTTGTTCTGGATTTTGTTTCATAAGAACCTACTACACTTACTCTGTGCCAAGCGTCACACAATCAATAAGAAATTTTGCCATTAATTCCAAGAAAATAAAAACGCCTTTTCAAACACAACTCATCTGAACTAATTCAAGTATACAAATCAGATAAAATGTAATCATTAAATAACAATTCACTAGAAAATAACGTCCGATTTACTTTACATTAAAATACATCATGTCAGAGTTCAAACCAAAAAACACTTCTCTATGTAGCTTGAAAGGAGAGTTTAAGTCGTGGTTTAAAACTTTCACTCAATTTATTCACCTCTCACACATTTTGCTATGCTACATTTATCTTTTGAAACCCAAATGAGAATTGCTCATTTACTTCTCAGTCAGCTAGGTCTGCTAGTAGGTGAAGCTGACCTTCACCAAACAAAGCACAAGAAGTCACACAGTCCAGCCTAGACACTGCTGCAGCTCAGTCATTAACTACCCTCTCTCCCAGTGGCCTTTCAAAGCTCCCGAACTTTATTACGCCATGAGTTTTGGACAAAACTGAACCAGATACAACAATAACGTAATTTAACTTTGTTCAAAAGGACAAGCATTTCAACATGTTAATTCCAGTGATAAGCGTCCACCTCTGGAAAAACAACCTCAACTAGAATTACATGTAATTGACTTAAAACGTGTCCCAGTCCAAGTGAAGAGACAAAGAAAAAAAAACTCTTATAATAAAAGATGTCTGCTGTTTTTCCACTAAACATTTTGAGAGGGTGTGCAAGAGAAAAACACAGAATATTTAAGGAACAGCTTTTCAGTTTTGACCATGCACAACCATAAACAATCACTTCTGGAAATGTAAAAATGTAATGTAATGTGTTTAAGACTAGAAGCCAGGCTATGAAACTGAATAAATCATTTCCATTTAACAGTCATTACTATGGTGCTCCACCTGTGAGCTTCACACCCAAGACATTTTTTAAATGCAAGCAGTTTTCACTAAAGGTTTTTAAAAGGGATTGTTTCTTCCTCTCAGTGGGGGTGGAGTGATTTCGTAATGCCTAGCTCTCTTCTTTAACTACCTAAACCAACCTGTTGTCTGTTGTTCCTGCAAGATAATATCTTGGGTGTTACCTCTGCGGTTTTACTAGTAACACCTGACAACCCTGAATTACCTCAGAAAGGATAGGAGTTACAGAACAAGTCAAACAAGTTGGACAGTGCAGGCCAGCCTGACACCGGTAAAGAGCTGTATCGTGTTTGTCCATTGTTATGCTTTTTACATGGTACATAAAAGTTATGAAAAAGGAAAAATCCAAAATATTGAGCTTTTATTTCTGAATATAATACAGACTGTATAACCAAATATGGCTCATTAGCCGACTTCTCAATATAAATCTCAGTTGTTAGAAATTAATTGCGTGGGACATATTTGAAATATTTGTGTGATATTTAATGCAGTGTTTGTCGTCTCACAAGATTTTAATCTGAGAGGTTCTCAAATGATTCTGTCAGCAGTCATCTAGGCCAAATCAGACAGGGTCCTTCAACTTCCAGGAACTAGCACCCCCTTTTTCCCCCTCTCCCTTCCCCCCCCAAAGAAGGGGATTTGAAACAAGGCGCCCCTCTACAGGAATTCTTTAGGACGGCACACTCGTCATATAAACGGAGCGAAACGTTTTACAGCTACAACCTTAAACAGAAAGCTGCCCTGTCTGAAGTTGAGTCTCTTCTAAATGTTGCGACATTAGCAGAAGCCTATTCTAATTTCTTCTTTTCATACTTTGTTTTTCAAAGCAGCAAGCGCTGTCATCATCATTCTTAGTGGGGGGGGGGGGTCTTTGTGTGAAGTTTCCCTGGGGTGGGGGAGTTCAATTCAAATTCCAAGGCGTTTGTAGTTTGGCAGACGTGCCCGGGGGCTCTGCTCGGGTACCTACCTGGGGTAGTAGGCGGTGTAGTTCAGGAAGAGCTGAGTGCTGGGGGGGTAGAAAGGAGTGGAGGGCTGCAGGGCTCGGGGACTGAGGACCACCTGCGGCTGATAGAGGGTGGCGGCTTCCGCGGGGATGACTGCCGGGGGCGGGGCAGGAAAAGCGTAGGCAGGAGGAGACAGGCCTGGGGAAGACGAGAGCAGCATCGATGAGGACCGCACGCCTGAGCTAGGAGAACCAACACCGCAGTCCCCGTCCTCTCTTCACACGGCCATCCCGCGCGACCTAACAACGGCAGCACCAAACCCGAAAAACCCCAGCACCGCCCTCACCCCTGCCTGGGCCGCACATGAATCAGACAGGTTCTCCCGCTGAGAGCGCAGCCTGGGCGCACACTTTAACTTCAAATTACAAAGGGCACAGGACGCTTAAAATGTCTTGGAGGACAAAAGGCAGCAAACCCTCCAAAAGACCACGACGAAACCTACTCTGCCAACTGAAAGTAATGAATCGCACGGGATTCTGAAAGGGCAGCTTAGAAGTAAAACAAATATAGAAGATACCAGAAGCCGGCGTCGCACTACATGACTCGACACGACTTCTAGTCGGAGAGCACGTCAACTTGACCGACTGCAGTTGTTGAATCTCGCTGCCTTTTCAATCCTAGATGCGTCACATACGACTAGGAATTGCAGGGGGTGACTAATTCCGTGACTCCCTCACGACCTTTCATCACGGTTCCAAATCTCGTATTGCGCCGCGAAAGTACCACGAGGTCGCCTCATTTTGGCAGCCAATCAACGTGGAGCACACCCAGAGTAAGAGGAGGAGCACCGCACGAGAGAAAACAAACATCTCGAAATATGTAACACAGGCATGGTTTTCCACAAATAAACATCTTCAAATACTATAATTCTTCTTTATAAATATAAAGAAAATTAAAAAAATAAAACAGTTTAAAATAAATATTGTAAACAAATTTGTGTAATATGATGGGCACATTATCTCACAAGTACACATCTGGCTCACTGCCCCACCCTACGACTTGCGACTCGCTATGAGAAAGTCAAACCCATTCGATTTTGTCGTAGTAAGTTGCAGAGAGACGTTGCAGAGTTGCAGAGAGACGTAGATGCGTTAAGAGCGTTATGACCAAGTCGCTGGGGATGTCCCACTACACAACTGAAGGTAAAGGGCGCACTGCGACTCGCTGCGATTTTCTCACAATTATGTAAATGAAGGCTACCACTGAAAATCCTAGGAAAAAGTCACGTAGTGCGACGCCAGCATAATTTAAGACGCTGCCATGTGAGGTTCCACAAATGTCAAAATGAGTTTTCGTTGCGCAATCTATTTCCAAGATGAAACTAGGCTTTTCCTTCTAATCAGCCATCTCTATATTAGAAACTGTGTCAGAGTCTTCTAGACTCTGCGTGTGAAAGAGGAACCCCAAGAGGAGAGACAGGCACACAAATTCTTCACTCCCCACCCCAGGACTCTGCCGCACAGCCTAACCTTCACCACTGCTGGCCAGTAATCCCCATACGGGCCACAATTTCCAGACCAATGTCACCAGGATTCAGCTACAAAGGACTGGGCACAGGTCTGCACACCTTTTCCAGCTACAGGGGTAACAGAGCAGATCTAGCACTGCAAGTCCAGATTAAATATCACAGGATTTTTTTACTTTTTTTTTTATTGGATATTTTGCCCCAATTCCTGTTGCCTTCTATCCATGCATAAACTCTTCATTTACAATAAAAGGGACTTGTGATTTACAATGGTAATTTAAAAGGTGAGCAGTCCAGTGCCTAATCACTAAAGGAATTGAATGAGAGTACACCTAAAACCAAAAAAGTTACTCAAATCGTGCTTTCAAACGTTCCATTATGAACTACATGAATTATTCTATAGATTTTTTTTTAAATAAACACATACATCAGGTACAGGATGTGTAGCGTGCTTTCAAATGTGTAATTCCACACACAAAAAAAAGATTTTTAGAAGTAATGAAACCTGTACCTCTGTATTACTTCTACCATGTTATCATACTGGCACTTATTCTGCGTTAAATGAAAGCAACAACAGAGTAACTTCAGTTTTCCACAACCAAAGGAAACACAAGAAGTGCCCTAGGTAACTACTGATCTTTGATGACAAGATGTTTCATCAGTCAATTCTGAAATCACAAAGAACCCAGAAAAACGAAGGTTTCAAAAAGAGCTCCAGCACCTACCAGCACTTAGCGTAGAGAAGCGCCAAGACCCAAGCAAAACTTACGTCGTAACTTACATGGCGGCGGGGACAGGCCATTCCGATTCAACGTGCCCCCCATTAATACAATATTCATCTCCTCCGCAGAACACTGAAACACTTCCACATAGCGGTCCTTCATGGTTTTCTTATGACACTTCTGTGCTGCCAGGAAAGCCCTCTCCGGCGACTTCATCTGTATGAAGGAGTCTCCAGACGGCCGGCCCTTCGAGAGGACATCAGAAACGCAACTGGGATTAATTCGCTCCTCCCCTCCACCACACGACTCATCATCATTTCAAACATGCTTGGATTTTAATTTCTTAAAAAGTCTTCCAGGTTCAGCTCTGTTTTTAAACAGGAGGACCAGCTGCTGATTGGAAGACCATCTCGTTGCTTTGAACACATGGGCCTTTCACCCGATTTTGGAACAACACCAGTGCCTTTGTATGTGTGCCAATTCAGAATCATACCCTTGAACAGCCTAGCTTTCCTTTTTTCTTTCGGTCCTCTGTAACGCTTACATGACATTTCACTCAGGTAAGCAAATGCAGAAATCTTTCAAGTCTTAATTTGGGCAGTTTCAGTCATTACATAAGCTAAACAACTGTTCTGGAATACAGAAATAATAATACATCAATAATTGAGACTATATTGTGTCATATTACATAAAAAAAGTGGTTTTACTTTTACACATTAAAATTAGGAACCTTTAGCTAGACACATATTATAAAGATTATTAACAGTCTTGCCAAGATCATCTCATTTATTCTCTTCAGGGCGAGATTTGTCTTGCCTTTTGGAAATGGTGTTTGAAGAAACCAAGTAAAATATTATGTTAGATTAAGAAAATGTCAACATCTTGCACACTGTACTGCCCACCATCATGAAAACATGTATTTTAAAGGAACCAGTCAATCATTCTAGGTACCACCCTCTTGTAACACTCTAGCTGAGAAATTTCCCTCTCTGCATTAAGCGGACTAACTTGAATAGTGGTAACCTGTTTCATGTAACCTGGAGCAAACTATGTGAAGTATGCATTAACTTTTTGATATTTGCTTTCATCAGCCGTCAAATTCTCAACACCATACTTGATGGAGAAAAGACCTTGCAGTACATTTTGCATTACAGGAGCATTCAAGACCCATTCTTTCCCATTCTTTCAACGCAGTTGACCATGAGGGAAAACCCCGAAATAACCGTCACCTTCTAATGAACTGAACAAGGGATGCTGCACTGGTTGCACATTACAGAGAACCACAGGACACTGGTCATGTGGAATGCACTAAAACTGCAGAGGTTGCAGACCGTCAGAGCCCGAAGTCGAGCGGGCGGTCTGGACGGGGAGGGCTATCCGTACCTGCTGGTTTAAAACCATGTGGATGCCGTGGGGCCTGATGTCGGCGGTGAACTCGCCCAGGAACTCCAGGATGTCTTCGATGCTGGCAATGTAAGGGAGCCCCCTGAGGCGCACGCAGTCCCGCAGGCCAGGGGGCGGGACGAACGGAGGCTGAGGTAGGACTGGAATGATGGGGGCGGGGGCTATGGGAATGAGGGGCGCAGATGTGTACCTGTTCAACACCTGGAAACACAACAACAGATGTGTGTTTTGAAAACCGGCATTGCGAGCCAGCTACTCAGACAGAGAAGCAGGGAAACACTGCTGGCTCCCTAGGAGCCCCTTTCCTTGTATTCTCGTTTCCCCACTTTTGTTATTTTTGTCTTCTGGAAACGGAGTTCCGCATCAAGAGGTCCATTTAACCAAACTGAAAACTCACCGCCTTGGCTCGTTATTCCAATTCACAGCTTTAATTTTGAATAGCAAAACTATCCTACTGTACGCGTATTTTTTAAAAAAACGATCTAGATGCTTAATTATTTGTGGCTGAATTGAGTACAGGTTTGTGAAGGAGTTGCATTCTTTATTCCTAACAATGCTCTGCAGTGCACTATGGGGGGGGGGACATCATGTTTAACCATCTCAAATCTGTAAAGACGTGCACAGTTCTGCAATTAGATTTTTGGGTGAAAAGACACTATCCAGTACCATGATTAGCACTGTATTCATCTGCAATATACCCAAGTTCTTAAAATGTAGAGATTGTATCACATATCAGTTATAAATCACAACCCTCTGGCAGAAGAACCCACGAGATACCCAAAATAATATGGTTTTCGGGTACATCTTATAAAGCAAAACGAATTAGCAATTGCCACAAATTTCAGATTCAATTCCTTGTGGCAGAAAATGTTTAAAGCCCTACAGAAAAAAGGCAAACACTTCCAGAGACCTTTAACTGAGAAAAATCAATTCCAATAGGATTTCTTAAAATCAAGTTAACAGAATTTGTCACTACCTACAGTTTGGAGTTTTGTCAAAGGCAAACATGAAGTGATACCTTTCCAAAGCTTCCTTAAACCTGGAGATTAGGAAGCAATCGCTATGTAAAATGGGTCGTTCAAGTCAATTTATCACAAGCCTGAAGTGAAGAGTAATCTTTTACTACTGTTGATTGTGGAAATGTTTACACATGTTATCAAGATGGTCAAGTCACTTTATGGCCTGGTCTTTAAAGGAAAAGGTTCAAATTCAAGTTGAAGTCAAAGCCAGCATTTAGGACCTGCAATATCTCTATGTTGTGGCCACTAAATGCAAGCTGTTGACTATAGGATTTTTTTATTTCATGCCCATGTACACCAACACTGCTTGGGGCGCTTCAAAGAGCCAAAAAGAGGGGAAAAAATAAAATAAAAATAACATTAAACAAACAAAAAAGAGAAAAAGAAAAAGCATGACAAAAAGGAGGAAAGTCAGATGCTAATTAAAAGCCTAACGAAACAGATATGTCCCAAATCTAGATTTAAAAACTGTGAAAGAGTTTGCATTCCCCAGAGTGTTGGGAAGACAGTTCTGGAACTGTGGAAGAAGGATGCTGAAAAGACCCACTAAAAGAGGAGCCTCAGCAGAGCAAAGCCCTGACTGGTACATAGTGGCTAATTAACAATGGGAAGTACTGCAGGGTTTAGGAGAGTAGGGCTTTAAAATTTTTAACTGAATGCAGCGGGTAATGGGGAGCTTACAAAGGCATGTCAAAATCGGGGTGGCGTGTTCACGGGTGTGGAAGTCCTGCAGACGGGTTTTGGAGTTTGTTCAGGGAGCAGGCAGGGAGACCACTGCAAAGGCTATCGCAATAATCCCATCAAGATGTGGTAAAGGCAGGAACCAGGGTTTTCTAGAGCAGTATAGTCAAGAAAAGACCGAATGCGGGCAATGTTTCTGAGGGAAAAGTAGGAGACTTTGCAGGCGGTTTCTATTCGTGCATCAAAAGACCTCCAGATTTCTCACAGCAGAGGAAAACCCGAGGGGGCCGTTTCCAAGTTGTAAAGAACTTAATAAGAATTTAACAAGCATCTTCCCTGAGATTTCTGCACATCACTTCAGTTTCTGTCATATTAAACAGAGGAAAATTTGAACTCAACCAAGGCCCAACTTCGCTCACACGGTTTGTCATAATCAAGATGTCACACAAACGATCAGGCGAGATAGAGATATAAAGCTGAATGTCATCAGTACGAAAATTAAAGTGGACACCCTGTTTGCCAATATGACTGCCTAATTGGAATAAACAGATTAAAAACAGAACAGGCTCTAGGATGGGGGACACTTATGGAGAGGGGGACAATTTTGTATATAAAATTAATGGCCCCCACCATTCTGAATTGGAAGAAGTGTTCAGAATTATTAGGGTAGATTAACAGCAATAAATTGCACCTGGTTTGACAAATAAGGTGATTCAAGATGATCTAGTAGGATATGATTGTAATGATATATGATTGCACCAGTTTGAAAGCCATTTACTAAATGTCACTTCGTCTTATTTCTATTAACTCATTTTGTCTCCATTTATCACAAAACAGGCTTGTTAGGTGCACTCCCTGAGCCGAGCTTGATTTCTCAACACCCTTTAACCATTATTTCATTCTTCCACACCTTGTTACATTCCTCACAGAGATGAGCTCCCGGCTTAATGGGTTCAATGGGTGGAAAAAAAGAAGGAAGACCTGGACAGAAATTTCCCAAGACTGAACAATAAACTAATTCTGCTGGGCAACATCAAGAAACAAAAAAATCAGGTGGCTCACCTGCTGCACCTCAGCAGCTGTGCTCTTGAAGAGCTCGATGTAACGTTTCCCCAGAATGTCCTTGTGTTTCCTCAGGGCGTTCAGAGCGTATTCCTCACAGGCAAAAAGCACAAAAGCATCCCCCGTGGGCCGGCCATCAGGGTATTTGACAAAAAGTATCCCTTCTTTCCCCCCGGTGACTGGGCAGTTCGGCCCAAAGAACAGCAGGACGTCCTCGGCTGTGGCGGTGAAGGGCAGGCCGCGCATGCGAATGATGATTTGGCTCTCTCTGGACAGAAACTGGGCCACTTCGTTGGAGGTCCCTGACGAAGACAGGAAGAGGTGACTTTGTGGAACCGCAGCAGTGTGAACGCTAGCGCAAGGCAAGTCCTTAAAACTTCCGAGCTCTTAGGAGAAGACGAAATCCGCTCCAACTCACTTACCAACCCCGCCCTTTGCCTTTGCACGGAAATTCTTTAATCAGCGGAAAACAGATTTTGTTTTGAGCATTGAGGGGGGGGAAAATATCTACAGCATATCTAAATGTCTTTTAATATTGTTAAACATCATTATATTAAAACATTGTTACATAAAAGGGGAAATGCAATGGTATTTTTAAATTTTGGGGTTAGAAAGAATCGATGAGTGCATTTCAAACCACAGGGAAAGTAAAACGTACACAATAACCTCTAATTAAAAATCCCTGATTTACACAGAATCTAAATTCGCTGGTATGTGCAGAGCCGTACTCTGACAAGGCAACAAAACTGAAGTGGCCCTACGACATTGTAAACAGGCAGGCTTGTGAATACATCGCTTTAAATCAAAATAAATTATTGCTCTCAACTTCAAGACTGTTTTGTCAACAAATACTACTTATTTGTTAAGTCTGCATGCAGATCACGTTGGAGCATTTTTGCTGCACATTACATTAATCATTACAGGGACTAGCGAGCAGGAAGGGCTGCATCATATTGCAATTCGTGCAAACTCTCACTCTTGCCCGTGGCGAGAACAGGGGTGTGCCACAACTTACGGTACCTTCATCCAGTTCACAATCTTTCGAAACCGCCAATGAATTTATTTCGTTACCAAGATTTAGTAACCAGTCTGAGATTAAAGGGGAACTGCAGTCCCAAAATCATCCTGTATAAGCAGCCACGGACAAGGCAGCAGGAGTGCGCAATCAGAGACATGCGGAATCCGTTTTTTTTTCGGTTCTAGATTGTAACTTCCAGAGCTGGTTTAATTAAACTACTCAGTTCACAAACACTGCACCTGCCAACTTCACTTGAGCACTTGTCTTACACAACGCACACTAAAAGTACCCCAATCAAAGGAAAAGTGCAATTTTTTAAAGATTTCTTTTACCTCCAGCGATTTTAAGGAAATCTTCACCTGTTGCTTTATAAACCTGAAAAAATAAAAAGACGCATTTGCTAGAAGGTGCAGCCATGGCCTTGCATTAAAACAGAGTAAAACAAAACATACAAATCCTAAGGACTTTTGTGGTCACTTTCATGTGGGAAAAGTCCACGTTTCCTTAAGAGATTCTGAATCGCGCATCTAGTGACTGTGACCAAAGCTTTACGCAAGATGTTATTGGTACAACCATTCTAAAAATTCCAGCAAAAATGCGAAATTAATTTAATGACGAGAAAGTGCAGGTGAAAATCACGGCAAATCCTGTGAAAATGCCGCAAGCTCCAAACCGCACAGCGACGCCCCAACCGGCACGCGCAGACGGACCTCAATGTATCGGCTCCCCATGTGGTGCTTGTGTCGCTGCAGGGCCAGATCGCGGTGCTCCTCGTTCACGAACCGCACCAGGGCCTCCCCGTTCCTCCTGCCTTGGGCGTTCAGACAGAGCGCGGCTCCCCCCCTGGCAGAGGTAGAGAAAGCACACAACAGCGCTCAGGACCGGGGCCCTTGGTGGGGCCGCAGGGCCCGGGGTGGCGGGATCGCCGCAGGACGGCGTGCCGGCAGGACTGACTTGGCAATGTTGAGGCCCCGGAAGAAGCGGGCGATGTCCTGGTCGGACGACTGCCAGGGCAGACCACGGGCTCGGATCACCGTGTTGTCATCCACCCTCTCCATCTTGCTGCTGCAGGGGTCAAACGTTCAGACCGCACGCTGGTTAACTCCAAAACTGGAGCTCCTACTTAACGAGACACTGTCACTTTGCAGACACTCTCCACTTTGCCCAACAGACATCTGATATTTGTCTTTTTCCCCCCCAGTCCATTACAGCTGTGCAAAGAACAAAAAAAAAAAAAAAGGATTTTTGCTTACCACGTGCCGGTTTCAAATTTCTGATTTACTCTTTCTGGGTCTGAGAATTTGTGATCTGTGGAAGACACGGTGAAGCCATGAAAAAATCCTGCCTTACTTCCATTGAGTAAAACGGATTTCAAGGACCTCGAGGGTATTTCTGCACAACCAAACAACAGTAGAGATAATCACTTACTTTTCGGATCCGATATTAATGCCAGGACAACGTTGGCCATGGTCTGAACTCTGTGAGCTGTGTGGCTGTAAGATGACGAATCGGCTTCTGCATTTAAGTCTGCAAAGTTTCCCGTCAAGGATGGCTGAACAACTTTTCAATATTCCTGGAGAACAACGGAGGGCATCCATACAAGCGGAAGGCATTTTTATGACATGGTTCCGTTACAGCAAAAGAATACAAAATAGCATTCTTACAAATTTAAATTAGTTACTTGTAATGTGTCTTTGGACGCTTAATTAATTCCATTATCTCAAGGTAAGAGAATTGGTGGGGTTTTACAGACAACTTTCTATATACTGTATTATACAGCTACATTAGATATCACACCCGAAAAAGGCTCCACAGCCGAAAAGTTGCATTTTTCTTCTCTTTTCAGCATGGAATACACCTTTACTTGTTCCTTTGCATGTGGATGCAGCTACATTACCTACAGTATATGCATCTACAGAGCTCTCTGGGTCTTACAACATACTACGATTGGGACTGTGTTTTGGTCTATGGTGTGACTCAACTTACAATAACAGTGTGAAGGGTGTGAAGGTGTGTTTTGTTGTCTAAACAGAATGGGCTTTTCTTCATGATCTTCAGTGACCCACTAGCATTGTATTTTTAATTTGCATTTCAAAACCCAGGGCTTCAAAAGCCGACTCCCAGGTTACATCCTCCAAACCCACTTCAAACCAGTACTTAAGGGATGACAAATTAGAAAAGGGTCTAAGATCGAAAAAAACATCATCCAGTTTATAGAAGGTTTATTGCTGGGGGAAATGAAATCAGGTAATGTATCATACACCATGATGTAAAAAGAATTTGCAGTAGGAGTCTTTTTTTACCTCGTAAACGCCAAAGCAAAGCTACGGACTTTTCATCCTTACATTGTATACATATATAAAAAACAAAGTATATCTGCTTTTTTGCTCTACACAAATATAAATAACTGGAACTGACCTACAATTAGTGGTGTACCTTCAATTCATGCACATACAAGCTGCAAAAAGAAGTTATGAAATTAGATGTCTATTGTTTAATTTTCATTTCAAACATTTTGCACCTGGAATTTCAGGTTCAGATGCAAGGAAGGATACAGTCAGCCATAACTTGAATGTTTAAATCCTTCAGATCCGGCGAGGTGGGGAATTTTTTCTTGAATTCTTTCCGAAGGTCAAAAAAGGAATAGAAATATTCAGGCAGCAAGATATTCTGTATAAAAGAGATTTTTTACATTATTTTAGTTAAAAGTACAAATTAAACTTAAATACATTCACTGGGTACATGTACAGGTTTTACTCATGGCTATTTGCACCAAAACAAAAGTTATATTCGCATCTGCAATTTATTTTTTAAAAATCTATCAATAGTCGCATTACATTTATAGATTCTATACATCAGTGTATTAAGGATATTCATTTTTCTAAAGGGTAATGAACGTTTTGTTTTAGATATGTTTGGATGGCTCATTTTACAATTAGAACTGCAAAGCTTGTCTTGTGTTGCTAACTATTATCTTAATAAAACATGCCCTTCAAGAGTAGCTTAAATACACTTTAAGAAGTTTGAGCCAAGTTAACAGGTTGACAGGTGAATTTGAAAGGCTACATTCTGAACCACAGTGTACATGAACTTTCAGAATCTTAAAGATAACCCAGTTTACCGAATTTTAACCCTATTGACTTAAATGGATGAATAATTATGCAAGGTGATTTTTAAATCTGTCCATTACAAGCTCTGAACTTCACAACATCATATTATTTGAGCTGCAGAAGGACTGGGACTGGAAGAGGAGATCCTACAGAATGTTTTTTAAAAAAACATTGTAAAAAAAGAGTAAATTATGAAATTTCTTAACTGCACCATTGCAACTTTCATAGAGATTGAGGTTCATATTAGGCAGACAACCTGTTGGAAGAGCTGCAGTTATTGGTCATTGAAGATTCTTATTCAAAAGAGTAGCTGTTTTGACCCCTATATCCTGATTTAATTCCACTCTGGATCTGCAAAGTCTGATGTTCCCCCTTATTTCAACTTAAGAAGCAATTTTTCAGTTCTTGAAAGCTGAACACTCCCTGGAGTTCTTTAGGACAGGCTCTCCAACGTCCGTTAATAAGGACTGGCTTGGCTGACCTTAACTGGTCTATCTCCAAGTGATTTTTTTCCTGTGGAGACATCTGAAATATCCGGTACTTCAGACTAAATTATTCCACCCACCTCTGAGGATTTCCGGCAAATTCTTTCCATTTCAGTATTTGACTGTAAAACTGAAGCATGTTTCCAGCTTTAGAGATGGAGACATTGAATGCCTTTAGAAATAAAAGGTTATTAAGAATTTTGGGCATCTTTCTAGACTCATGTGCAATGGTCAGATTAATAAAAAAATACCTTTATTACAATGTTCCCAAACCCAGCATTTCTGTGTGCTGGAGAGACCTTTACCTTATTGGATGCTTCTGGGTGGATGACTTGTCTGATGTGAAGTTGGCCATCAGTGCATAAACAGAATGTCTTCACGCCAATATTTACTTCATTACACAGATGCTGATTAACCTGAACAGAAAAGGAACATTCAGTTCCATTAACTGTGGGCATGTAAATATACAGTATGTGCTCTGGTAGGCATAAGTTTCCCAAGGAAAAGCAATAAAAATGTCAATCCATGGTCAAATATTTCAATATCTCTTAATAAGACAGTTCATAAAAAAAGAACTGCTGAAAAATTGCAAGGGTTAACGTTTCCTTAATCCTGTAAATTATATCCGAAGAACCCCAAACTATTTTCTTTAGTACTCTAACATTGCCTGTAAAAAACGTTTATAAGGAAATTGAAGAGCACTGCCGGAGATGACCTCTGTAAAACCAAAATAACACAGAACATGCAATACCGCTTTAGAAATAAGGCTCTGTTTGCTTCTTTCATTAAACTATTAACGAATGTAATACACTGGAAGTAAAAGTATTTTCGCTATTGTTACTTTATGCCACCTAAGCATTCAGTCAGTAACATGTCAATGACTGCAGGCCAAGGTGAGATGACACCGTTTCATCCGAGTTTAATTATCAGCTCAGTTTCAGGCTAAGAATTCCACGTTGTGTCAAAAACTCGACAGACACTACAAGAGTTAAATTCAGAAGTCGATGTATGTTTACTCGGACAAAGACTCGCAGTAAAAAGCACTTTATACTACAGCACATAATGGCCGCCTATTCCCACATTATTCAAATCCAAATATTTGCATTAAGATTATAATCCTGTCCTTCACATGACTGTATGAGCTTTAAAAAATAGCAGATACTAACACTGCTGGTGGAATGCTCCTCTATTACCGACATCTCTTCCGAAAACTATCACATAAGCATTTTCTTAACTAAATTCCAAAAATATTCCAATTCCCAAAACAAATTATCGGCAATACAACACAAATGGGGTTACATAATTTCTAAATTAAGTTTGCAAGAAAGTGATATAGCTTCCCGATTAAAAAAAAAAAAGAGACCCGACAAGGCCACCCACTACACCCACAATAGTTTAAAACAATAAACAATTAATTAATTGAATTTCGAGGGGCCTGAAATTCGGGGAACTGCTCACCTGGTTCAAGGCGTGCTCTAAGGGCTGTGCAGTGGAAACCGACTCCTCTCCAATTCCACTCTCTTCTTTACATTCATCGGTCAGTTCCAAATTTTCGGGTTTAACGAGAATTTCGTGAATTTTTCCCGTCTGAAGAAATTTAAAATATGAATGGATACATTAATAATCATATACTATGATGTACAAAACTATATCATCGCGTTTTCACCCCTAGACAAAAATCACGTTACTCAAACAGGACAATTAGGCACTAAAATGGCTTTCATCGTCGCGTTTTATGTTTTCATTTCACTCTGGCAATATAACTGCAAAATGAATGTATATAGTAGATTCCTGGTCTAAAGTTGAGTGGAATTTAAGAAATCACTTTTTACAGGCACCGTCTTCACAGAACGCCCTTGAAAACAGTCGTTCGGGTTCACCTGGATAGTAAAAAGCACACCATCTGAAAAAAAAAAGGATGGCAAAAGAGGACAAACTCCTAGATACCTTCTTGTTCGCCAGATCCACAGTTTGCCACACCAAATGAATTAACTCCTTTTCATCAGATCCCAGTTTATCCCCATTGGCACCAGACGTCGTAGTAAAGAAAATCACCAAATAATCAAAAGTTGCCGTCATGTTGTTCACAGGAAAAAATAACAAAAGAAAAAAAAGTAAACAAAACGCACCTAAAAGAAAGAAAACCCTACTGAAGAAGAAAAACAACACCCCCAAAACGAACCAGAGGAAACAACCCTACACCTACAGACACCTTATGTGTCCAGAGCTAGGTGTGTTTGACTGGCTTCAGGTATTTAGTGGCTTTGGCGATTGCGTGAGAACCTATGTAAAACAGGCAGCACCCCCCTCATAGCCTCGTAATGGCTGAACGTTCACTATTTTTTGTGCACTTACCTGTCTGAGACCCACGTGACTCAGGTAATGGATACCTGCCTTGTGCTGGGCTCTATTCTATTGGTGCTTTTAAACAGGGACGTGGCTAGCACAGAGAAAGACAAGCATCTTTCGCCTCAGGACTTGGAGCGACAGAAGTTTTGTATACAGAAGAACAGAGAAATAATAGTGTATGTTTTATTATTTTATAAAATTATAATAATAAAATGCATTGTAATATATGATGATAAAATAAATTAACTTCAGTGTATCATTACAAATTATTTCGTACGGGTATCTAACTGCTTTGATATTTAATGACTCTTACCTCGTAACTTATAACCCATTCTGTCCGAATAACAATTTTAAAATGAGTTTTTAATGACCTATTAAGCTCGGTACTTGTTTTTTTTAACGAAACAATCCTAAAAAAGTTACTCTTTCCTTTCATGCTAGGGGATTTCATATTAATTAATACGATTTTAAAGAAGAGAAGCTCAGAATCAAAGGATAGTTTTTGAAGAAATAAGGTCTTACAAAATTAACAGCAGGCAGTTGGTAAAATTCAAATAACGTATGATTTAATAAACAGTATTTATGTCAAATTAATTTACTTTCAAATAAACATGATATACTATACCTAAACAAGATTAGACCTTAAATGCCTTTGAAAGGGAATTACAGTTTAAATCTGACAATGTATCTAGTTATATAAGTACTGCATATGTGTATACAGTATGAATGCTTTGAGGGTTATATGTAAAATACGCAATTACAAAAATAAAAAAAACAACAACTACAAACTCCGGGTACTCGTCAAGGCGTCACAATTATTAATCCAGTATCGGTCTATAAGAATATCAAATGAGAATTTCTCTTAAAGTAAATTCCAGAAATTAAAAGTGTAGCTTTTAGTCCACGTGCAGTGAGATTACGAGGCAGATATATCTGAAGACAGAGATATGGAAATTGAATAACGTTTTGTGTTTACCGGGTGTGTCCTTGCATGACAGAAGCAGCCATCGGTCTACTACATGTTGCTGACCTAATGATAAAAGCTACTACTTGCTACTACTATAAATGTTAATTTACTTAGGTTATGTGACGTATGCATTTCATTCTTATATGTTTTCTAAGAAACGTCTCGATTTTAAACCCTCTTCTAAACTATAGCCCCATGCACAAATAGCTCCGTATCATGAAATACGAAAAAATGCAGAAAACATTATATATTAAAGACATAAGTACACTATACATAAATGACAAACTCTTGAAGCAATACGTTATTGTTTAATTGCTGAAAAAAATCATATAAATTTAGAATTTAGAACTTATTTATTACTTATTTTTTAATGGTATTGCTTAATGCACAGCATCCCTGATTTTATCAGAAAAAATTAAATCATCCATAGTTTGAGGCAAATCACAATATTTTACTCCCACTGAATGTGAGGCAAATATTGCAAGCTGAGCTTGACCTTAGTGTAAAGCATTTATTTCAGTGGTTCATTATTGCTGAAAAATACAGGCACTAAACAGGAGGCAAGTAGTGTCCCTTTTAAATGAAGACAGTAAAACTGACAACATTTTGTGAAAAATTACATTTACTAAAGAGAAGTGAAAGAGTGTCATTTGCTTTACTAAAAATACTATGCAAACAATTTTAGAGCACCTACAATCAGAAAATGACGGTGCTGATCAGACATGCTTGTAAAATTGATCAGCCAAACCAATGTTAATTAACACATGTACCACTTTGTAGATAAATTTACTTCCATTTAAAAAAAAACAGCTTGGTCTGCAGTGTACAGCAAACAAATAGGATCAAACACCCATGTGAGTAAGGTGTCGGGTTTAGGATTAAAGATTGAAGTCAGAATTAAAGCCTTTTGTCATATGACCAAAGTACAGTACATAAATCCTACTGTGAGACAGGACAATCTTCCTTGGAAGAAGTGTGGCATGGCCACCCGCCCACTGACAAACCGACCAGGATTTGACTGGCTCTTCTTAATGGTCTCTTTCTCCATTATCTGCCTTGTATTCAGCTTCTGAGATAGGCTCTGGTAAATTATGACTCTCCAAAAAGAGAAGTGGCTTTTTGATAGTGGATTTACATACACTAAGGGAGGCCAACCTTGTCTTTCTGAACCATGATCTAACAGGTCTTATAGGTCACTCTTAAATCATCAGTTTCTAAAGACCAAAGCCTATATGTGAGTTTTGATCAATTTAGTTAATTAGTTAATTTAAACAAAGAGTGGCCAGCTGTCATCCTTCAGATCCAGGGGGTGTTGGTATTTTCACTTCAAATCACGCGTCTAAGTGGTCAAAAACAAAAATTCAGTTCTTTAGAAATGAGAGGTTTAACTTCTAAGGATTGCAGTTTTCTAGGACCAGTCCTAGTCACTCCATAAAGAACAACTTGCTTTTCCTTCTTCATAATCTACACCAGAATTTGACATTTTTAGATTTGCATTTGCTGTTAGACAGACATTAATATCACTGGCTCTTGTTCTCCTGTGAGAAACTCATCCTATTCATATCCTTTAGAATTCTAAATCAGAATTAAATGAAAGTCACGTTATTTCTCCAGTCAAAACAGCTGTATTTGGACCTTTATTTACTTTTCAGCAGTTTATTTGATTACCTGTGTTGTATTAAAACAATATATTCATGACAGAAAAACATATTAACTGATAAAATTGCTAAATTAGAATGTTATTGAAAACAGTCTTTAGAAAGCTGAGTGAGCACACAGAACTGTAAAAATAACCGATCGCACATACACTATTGACGTCGAGTTTTAACAGCCGGATGTTATTGTTCCTTTTACCCGGAAGTATATCCTGTTGTATTCAGGAAACATGGCTGCGGACTCTTCAATGGAGCTTCTTTTTTTGGATACTTTTAAACATCAGAGTGCAGAGGTAAGATTTTTTATCGTTGATATTGATGTTTGTCTCTTGAAATGTGGGTGTCTCTTCAGGCTGCGTGTCCATTAGTGATAATCGTTTTTAAAACAACGATGAGTAGCACATTGAGCTCTAGTTTCAGCAAGACCGTGTTTGCATCGAGTTCCTTGTTGTTAAAAAAAAACATGCAAAATATTTGATTGCTTTTGTTCTGCAATATGACACTATAGACATGCCGGGAAAGTAGTTTGCACATAACTTTTGTCACTGCAACACTGTGTTAGTTTTTTAGAAGCCATTGTTGCAAATGATACTGCCTTGACTGACATAGGGTGCTTTTTTATTATATTTCCGTATGGCATGCTACCTAGATTAAAACTGGAAGGTATAGGTTTAGCTTTACCTTCCTCTTAGCTTGGAATGCTTTAGCATGCAAATGTTTGTTTTGCACAGGCTTTATGAATAAATAACAATCCTTAATCGGCAAATAAAATCATGGCGTCTCAAACGAATCATTTAAGGTCAGATTTCTGAAGAACCGAGCGCGTCGGCTTCCCACTGTCAGTGGAACTAACACAGGGACTTTCGTACTCTATGCAGAAGGCCCCGTACACTTCGAGACGGGTATTGGCTCATGTTTCCTCAAACTTCAAACAAATCGATGTGTTTATTTCCCCTGATCAGATAGTCTCCACCGCCGATCAGCCTTACTGACTTCCTGCAACGAATTTGTGAGAATTGGAAAGATCTATGAATTAAGAGAGGCCAAAACCAAATGAACAAAAAATGGGTAAATACTGATGGAGAGCAATAAACAACGCTGTGCAAAAAAAATCACGATTGTTTATGTACTGTAACAATACTATGGACTTATTGTAATGCTTATTTAAAAATTAATAATTTAGCAGGGTATTCAGTTTAGCAATCCATTACATTTCGACTTGCTGATGGGTTTTAACTCATAAGAATGGTGCAAGTCCCATCCTAGCTGAAAATGTCGTTTAATCAGCCCTGTCATCTGTCCTGCATAACTACAGGGCTTCCTGAGGGCCTTCAATGGAAATAAATGAACAAATTATTACAAAATTATAAGTCCATTACCAACGTGACAGTAACCAGGGTGTTTGTTTTTTTTTAAATGAAGCTTTAAGCAACATTATAAATATTATAAATGTACTAGCTCCTTAATTGTTGTGATGATACTTCTCATCTTAAGATCATGTTTGAAACCCTTGAGTATTGAATCTCTCCTAACATTCAGTGGGTAACCCAGGTTTGGTAAACTTAATACATTCAATACGAACACGATTGTGAAGGTAGCCAGCAAAATTTGAGCTCTTCCCGTTAAGATGTGAATTAAGACTAACTAGGTTCAAGTGAAATAGAACTAAGTTATTTTTTTATTTTTATTTTTATTTTTTTATGTTGTGTTATGTCATTTAGCTTCCTGCAAAGCAAATTTCCCATCTGGGACCATAAAGTAAATAGATAGATACTTTATTGATCCCGTGAGGGAAATTGCAGTGCAACAGCAGCTTAACACAGACAACACAGCAACAGTGTAATGAATGATACAATAATAATAATACAATACGTACAATACAATCAGTACAGTGAGAAGTGCACTAAGAAGAGTTACTCACAGACCAGAACAGAACTACACAAAAAAAGTCGTATTGCACAATATAAATATAAATGTATTGCACAGGTCCCTGACATATATTGCCCAAAAACGGTTATAAATGGGAAAAAGAAAAAGAACACATGTATCAGTTTACTGTTCTGTCCAGACACAGGTCACTGTCAATGTTGCCTCTGCCCAGACACAAGGTGGATGAGTTGTACAGTCTTATGGCAGAAAGCAAGAATGAACTCCTGTAGCGCTCCCTGTCGCACCGTGGATGGATCAGCCTATTGCTGAACGTGCTCTTCATTTCTACAAGCCTGTCATAGAGGGGTTGGGAGACGTTGTCCATGATGGCCTCTAGTTTGGACACCATTCTCCTCTCAGCCACTACCTCCAGTGGGTCCAGGCCAGACCCAATGACTGAGCTTGCTCTTCTGATGAGCTTGTTCAGCCTTTTAGAATCCCCTGCTCTAATCCCAGAGCCCCAGCATACCACCGCGTAGAAAATGGTGCTCGCTACCACCGACTGATAGAACATATGTAGCATCTTACTTCATACTGTACATTGAAGGACCTGAGCCTCCTCAAGAGGTAAAGTCAGCTCTGACCCATCTTGTAGATGGCCTCGTGTTCTTAGACCATTCCAGTCTATCGTCGATGTGCACTCCCAGGTACTTGCATGAGTCCACTATCTCCACGCCTCTCCCATGGATGTAGACAGGAGTAGGTTTGACCCTTTTCCTCCTGAAACCTACCACCAGTTCCTTCGTCTTTGTTACATTCTCCCCACACCACTCCACAGAGCTGCTGACCAGTCTTCTGTACTCTTCCTCCTGTCCACCCTTGATACATCCCACAATTACAGAGTCGTCTGAGGACTTCTGCAGGTGGCATGACTTTGAGTTGTATTTAAAGCCCGAAGTATAGAGGGTGAAGAGGAACAGAAAAAGAACCATCCCCTAAGGAGCTCCTGTGTTACTTACTACCTGTTCAGACACACAGTTCTGCAGTCTCACAGACTGTGGTCTGCCTGTCAGATAGTACTTGAGCGTCTGTAAGGCAAGGACACAGGAAGGGTTATGAATGAGTAGGGGTCATTTGACCCATCTAGTCTGTTTTGACTGGAATGCAGGACTGAAAAATGCCATGTCAATATGCATTCACTGGACTGGAGAATGCTAGTGCATCCATCCTTTCAATAGGAATTACTGATGATGGGCGTGCATCATGCCAGCTGTATTTATTTCTGTTTGTTCTAAATACGTTCCAATTATATAATAAGATTTGCATTAAGGAGTGATGTTTTACAGGTGATCCAGCACTTTTGTGATTAGACTGCTAGTGCTTCAAGAGCAACATTGGGAAGAATGACTTTGAATGAGAATGACTTTGAATGAGAATGAGAAGAATGAGATTTTTTTAACATTCATTAAATTCTATGTATTACAAAGACAGTTTAAATTAGGTTTTGTTAATATATTGTATTGATTAAAAAAGTAAAAAAGTAGGACCTTAGTGCCTAAATGAAGTGATTTGCTTCAGGGAGTCTTTATTTGGTTTGAGTCTAAAATTGACTCAGCCAAAGAACTTCACTATGATCTATTATTGATCCATATCAATGGAGCATGAGAACTGGTTGTGGAGTGCAATGTTTCTGCACAGTTGTAAGTCTGCAGAGTTTTTTATCGAGCACTTAGTTTTAATTCAATTGATTTTTATAGCCGTTTATCTTTACTCATCTTTAGTCATGCGAAGATTCAGTATGTCCGTCTGTGCAGTTAAGCTGTTGAAATATTTTTCTCATTTAATGTTAATGTATCGATTTAAAACTGTAAGCATATATGCCTGAGGCATGTTTCCCAAGTTTTGTTTTTTTACACAGAAAAAGGAGATGCAATATATAAGCAGCTTTCATTTCAAAAGTTCTCTAGGTCTTTACAGGCAAGGCCATGCCCATCTGGAATCTTTGAGTTTTAGGGAAACCAATGGCCGGTATGCTCTATAAAGAATGTACACATTTTACAGATTTGTTACAGTCATTGAATACCATCAGTTTACCTTAAAATGGAATTGTGTAATGGACCGCAGGAACTTCATCCCTTCTGTGCTTCCTGGGAGCACGAGACTGGAGATGATGTAACACAGGGCTTCAGCTAACTGGAGGACAGCTGTCTGAACTTATTTTCAAACTCTGAATGGAGAGTAGGAGCATCTAAATTTCTGTTAATTGTGGACCAGGATGTGTTTGCATGAGTCAGTGGTTCTAGATTTGATTTTGCAGTTTTGAAATAAATGCAAAAATATCTTGGATCCA